TGACAGAGAGTCATCAAACCTGGAAGCGGTTTGGGATCCTGTTTGCCTCGGTCGCACTCCAAAGGCATCCTGTAGAGTTGCTGATTTTTAACAGTGCCCGGGAGGAACTGAATGAACTGCTTGCTTCCAACATTCGTAGGATTGATGGGCGTCCACGTGGTCACATATGGAATGCTCGTATGATGTGAACCTCCTGTGGATCCTACCCAAGTGGCCCATATGGTGACGAGCTGTCCTATTACAAGAAGTGATGCTGGAATTCCGATGGGAACTACCTTTACCTATGTAAAGGAATCAGCAAGTGTCTCTTTAGAGGGAGTGCACTCGAGAAGAGGAGGTCGTAAATACTGCTATTGCACCGGTTCCATCAACGACAATCAGCTGATGTGCCGGACGGCTGTAGTTGTTCTTGGAGTCGAGCAGAGCCGGTGCGTAGTTGACGACGCGGCCGGTGAAGCATATTCGATTCGGGCCTGGCTCGATTTCCCCGATATGCACCTCCGAGTACTCTTCCGATGGGTTCCATATTCGGCCAAGGGGGTTGTGTCCAGACTCGACTTCTGCTTGTGTGAAGCCGCCAGCTCGCGGAAATCCCGTCCTGTCTCTCGAAGCATCCTGAGGCGTGGCAGGAACGTCCCTTTGATAGAATGCCTGAATGGATGGAGCCGACATCATGCGTATTGCTTCGGAAGGGTATAATACGCATCGATCGTGGAAGATATCTAGAGCGATGGTTCATCGAAGAAGACCAAGTGGGAGAAACAATTCAGTGTAGAACATGACAGAACTTTCTCCGACTGCTAGGTACGTTCCACAACGGCAGGGCTGCCTTTGCATGTCAGTCGCCAGAAGGAGCCACTGCCTGACCTGCGCCTGCCTTTCCCATTTTAAGATACCTTATGAACAGAGGAAAGATACAATCAACATTGTTTCTGTGGATCTTACAGCGTTTCAAAAATGCAACTGGAAATGGCAGGCCAAATTTCTGGGTACCAGGTAGGTACCTAGTCGGGGTGATCAAGCTCGCAATTTGGGACAGAGATCAAAGGCATCAGGTCCAGAAGCCCAGATATGCGTAGCTTCCAGGTAACGGTGCGTGAAGTAAGGTAGGCCCTTCGCGCGTGCGATCTGATGGTATCTTCGTATTCGTACATCGTATAAGTAGAAACGAGACTGACGGCGGGAAATGCGAGCTGCTAGAGTCTAGAGGCCTTTAGGGGCTGTTTGTGATTGAATGAGTGGCTATCATGGCATCTTTACATGCGAACAAAGCAGTGGGGGAAGTAAGCTGCTTGCATCACCACAAACAACGCCCAGCCAATATCAAGAGCGGTTAGAGCGGCTATTGTATTTCAAATGGGGGTTTTTCTTTGGGCCCTGCTATGCCCGGAGATGCAGGATTTGTTATGTTACACAATGGCACTTGCGTCCAAAACCGTCATGTGGCAGTTTTCCCTTCCGCTAATTGTCATCTGCTCATCAAGCGCTCTCCTCTTTGTTTTCCTTTTCCGTTGATCTCAATATGGTACATGTATAACTGGGTATTAAATTGTGAAGATGAATAGCCCCAAATGACTCCTAACGCCTACGCATTGTTTCTATCCGGAAAATGACAAAGTAGAATATGTAATAAAGAGTCTTGCGTCGCTTGTTGAAGTGCCGCTAGTCATCAATTTCAGCCGTATACATTCTATGCTTTTCCGGGTACCGTTCCCTATTCAAAGACCGATGCTTGGTTGTGCTTAGTGCTCGGAGGGACCAGACTGTTTCCGTCCAGGCGCGCCGTAATCCGAGACAGCGCTTGAGGTGTGCGAGATCGACGTTGATCGGTGGCTTTGTGAAAGGCTATTCTTGGCACTCCCAGACTCGAGATCTTGCATCGCGTAGAGGCTCGACGTGTCATGTGTCTCCAGCGCGAACTGCTTAGTGCAAACGATGCCTTTGCCGCCTCGCAGGGCTGATTGCAGCTCCGTGGTGGAGGAGTCGCCGAGAGGACGAGACATGCGGTTCGTGCTTCGGCTCCCGTCCGCGGCGCTTGAGGGGGATTCCGCATACTTTTGAGTGTCGTAGCGCTTGGTGAGCATTCCAAAGAGTTTGGGGAAGGCCTTGATGAGAATGAGACGGATGGCCGGAAGACAACAACAAATGATGCCGGTGGGAACCTCGAGGCACGTCCAGAATGCAATATCGAATTGATCCCATGTAGGGTTCAAGGAACTTGCGAACCGCACAAGCGACTGAAGTCTCAGGATACTGACTATAGTGACGCTTGGTGATGTTAGTACAACGTCTACATTGTCAGTCATGGATTCAGTGAGAACTCACAAAGTACCGACACAAAACATTAGGGTGACGGCTAGCTTCTTCCACCAGTGCAGGTTGAGAGTTCGGATTCGCGACAAAGGAAGATACAGCATCCACAGGTCCAGTAAGATGCTGATGATAGCGTTCGCCCATGGAACTGCATTGATGTTGATACAGGTGCCCTGTTGCTCGCCGTCCCACCTCGTCCAGTAGTAATGGATGGGTGTACATTGGAAAATGCCAACCATGAGAAACACGAAGGTGTTGACGGCATTGAAGGCAGCTGTGCCCCAGAGAAGCTTTCCAAGACCAGCCCGGTCGAAGATGCGCATGTAAAAGCATAGGATTGCCATCTTGACAATGCCCATCTGTACAAAGTACATCGGCTCTAGGATGTAGAACCAATAACCGAAGCTCTCGATTTGATGTGATGTGAGGGTCCAGATGTCTTTACCGAGGCCGGCGGGGACAATCCCAACGAGGTTGATAATGAACGACGGAAGAACGGCCAGGTAGGCAAGAAGGGTAAACATGTCGTCGAGCCCAAGCTCTGCTGACGAGAAATACTTGTAAATCAAACGGGCCGCGACCACAAAGGTGGTGAGCCCCAGCAGGACCCATGTAAGTCGGACATATTCGGCGCTGTGATCTCGGACAGGTTTATCACAAGTGGTTTCGAACACAGCTTTGGCATCTAAAGGCTGTTAGCACATGCCACTCAGAGCCAAGCAGAAGAGCATCACTGACGAAGCGTGTCTTTGATACTGCATGCCCCAACTATACAGGTCTCTGTATCTGACTCGAACTTCGCATCGTTGCAGATACACGTCGTGTTCGTCAACCCGCATGGCGAGTCCTTGACAGCCGATAGAATACAGGTAACCTAGAGCAAAGTTAGATATTGGCGGACCGAACTTAGAGACATGAGAAACCGTACCGCGCATGTAGGTAGCTGGGCTACAGCATCCGTGATGCTATTGACTTTCTGAGCTGCGGCCGTAACAGCTAGTAGCGCAGCTACCAAAAAGGCAAAAGACAGTGGAAACCTCATGATATCCGAGGTGAGACCGTTTTGACGTCAAATAAAGTTCGAGAAAACCTTCCCAAGAACCTCGACCAATTCAATGGGGATATTTGCTTCTTAAAGAAGGAGTATTGGTATCACAAGGCCGTTTGTCACGTTTTTCTTCTTCTCTAGCCACCGTCCACAACAAAACAACAAACCACAAAAGGGGGCACCACCCGGGCTGGCCTTGCCAGCAACATTTAAGGGTAGGCGACTTAATCCTTCGCAGCTCCCGAGAAGACCTCCTTTCAACAAACATGATGTGCCGCATGCGATAGTTCAGCCAGGAGCGCGCCACACTAAGCCAAGGAGGCGGCCGCCTCTTAGCCCTCTCACGTGGTGGAGACTCGATGAGAAGATGACGATCCAGGCTGAGATCGCGAACAGAGCGTACCCGGACCACTGCTTCCGGCAAGGCCGGTGACAGCCACTTTTCCATAGTCCGACGGGGGCGAGGCACGGATGGAACACCAAGGTCAAATAGCTCGGGATAGCGGACCACTGACGGGCGGACGACGTCTCGCGACTGTCGCCTCTTGGGTTGCTCCAGGCCCCCGGGTTGCATCCCGGATCACCATCCGCCATATCCGTCCTGCACGACTTGATGGCGACGGAATGGGAAAGCGCTTCGGCAACGACGAACGAAGAGCGATCAGGAACCAAGCGTCAAGACGATGACTTTTCGGGTGGATCGAATCTGGGACGCGGGTGCATTCTCTAGCTGAAATAATTCGTCCCGTTCTTTTGGGTACTACGTGCCGATGGGAGAATCCACTGGGAATGTTGAATAGTTCTCGACCGGTGGAAATGGGTTGCGATGGACTATCTGGAAGACGCTCATTCCGAGGAAAAACGAGATTACGAGAGATTGTTTACGCCTGCTCCCACGTGGAAGCCGTCTAGAAAGAATGAAGGCGTAATGAACGCTTCCATTCCGATGTCGTCGACGCCTCTGTGGTGTTTCTGGTGTTGTCATGTTTCTCGGATAAATGTGAGGCTTGCTGCTGTCAAAGAAAACAAGCAGTTTCATCAGGCAAGTGCAGATTTTTAGCACCTTGCGTCAGCCTTTTAGTAAGCCCAGCGCTGTTGAAGAAAAAGCCAGAAAGAAGAAAGGTCCCAGTGGGGCAAGGCGAGAAGCCATCGTCAACTAACGCCATGCCTGCACGTCAGGTCCTGCGTCGTCCCATCATGCATCTGCCAAGTTAATCGATGTCTTGCGTGCTCGCCTCTCATGGAACTGGAAAGTCGGGACGGATTGCGTAGAGCGAGTCCAGCCCAGGCACTCGGGGCAGCAGATGGCGGGTGGGGTTCCCTAAAGCCAGGGGACCTTTTCAGCCCGCTAGCACTGAAGCGTCGCTAGTCGACTGCTGGAGAGGGCTGATTTGCCTGCCGAGGCAATCTGGCTGCCCAAGCGTTGCGTCTGTGTGAGTGGACCTTTCGCAAGCTTCGCACCCCGGACCAATGATCGACGGCGGGATGGCCTGTGCGCCCGATCCCACAAAGCCAGATGCACGCACGGGCCCGTCTTCCTTGTAGCCGGCTTTATCTTCTTATCGGGCAGCTAAGGTAAGGTATGTGGGTATCCAATGTTCGTCAATGCGTCAGTGCGTCAATGCGTCCATAGGTTCCAAATTTCTGAACCACGATCGCGGCAGCCTCGCGCCTGTTTGACACCAGCGAAGACACCTACCTACCACTACGGAAATCGCCCACACCATCAACTCCTCCGAACCCCTCCACCGGCAATACGGACCGCTTGACAGACTAGAATCTGTCTTTATCCTCGATTTACGGTTAGGAATTCCTCGTTGGGGGAGCACTTGCATAATGTCTACGTTGAACGCCTTCCACGAGTCGCTGCCATGTACGTTTGTTATGCCAATCGCCCGCAGCGCATATCCTCCGACTAACGAACTACGCCCGCAGATATTGATGACGAGCCCACACCAGCAGAGCGCGAAGCTGCCGAGTCTTTAATCCGAGCTGAACTATCCACCTTTTCACCGGCGCCTACGCCAAACTACAAAGAACCCTCCTTCTCCCCCCTCGTCGAACTCGAGCTGGAGCGCGTCGCCTCCAAACAGCCTCTCAAAGCCATCGATCTCGAGCGTTATCAAACGCAAGAGCCTTTCCCCGACTCCGGGGCAACATCTACAGCAGAAGATCGTGTTCGCCTCGCCGATTCACTCCAGAAGGCCTACATTTCCTACGCCTACCTCGATACTCGTGCTCAAAATCTGAACCTGTTGGACAAATGGGGAAAGAACGCGTGGTTGATCGGCAATTGGGGGCTCGAAAACGAGCTGAAAGGCTTCGAGCGCGACCTCGCCGAAACAAAGCGTCTCATTGACGTGCTGACCGTCGCCCGGAGACGCCAGCAGGAAGAAATAGCAGCAGAGATGAAGGGGCTGGAGGAGAATTGGAAGAAGGGCGTTGGAAGGACGCTCGAAACTGAGATCGCAGTCGAGCAATTGAGACAAGAAGTCCTAGAAGAAATGAGGGTAAGAGGCGGCTGAGAAGCACCGCCCCATGCATATATCGCAAGGAGGCAGCCGCTGCAGCTGTACCAAACAAAAGACCAAGCCAATGATACCACCTGTAACACTTATTTTCACAAACGCCAAATGCTCATGCACCATGGAAGAAATATAATCTTTACTAACAGGTATCTGGACGTCACTAGCCGTGTCTCTTAGGAAGCGAAGGTAGGGGGTTCCGCCTAACGCCGTTGTGAATCTTGACATTCACCCTCTTCAACCTTCCCAATGTCTGCCATCCAAACTTGGATCATACGCAAAAACAAATATCTTCAAGTTCCTCTCAGGCTGCTTGAAGCGGATCCATCTCCTCAACACCACTCTCGACCTCCTCGTACTTTGTCCGTCTCATGATGCCTTCAACGGGACCAAGAAGTCTCTGGAAGGCGTTCTTGCCGAGACTCGCAACCTTGACATCCGTCGTCGCGACAATGCTAGCGGCGCGAGGGGCATCGTTCAAAAGCGCCAGTTCACCAAAGAAATCCCCCTTGCTGTAGTGCTTTACAGATTCCTTGACCCCGCCCTTGTAGGCATCGGCCTCACCGCTCTCCAGAAGGAAGAACGCGTGACCTGGGTCTCCCTCCTTGATGATGGTCTCTCCAGGGGCGTACTTCTGAGTCTCCAACGCGTCGGCAATCTTGGATCGCTCGTACGGGGTGAGGCTTTGCAGCAAAGGCACCTCTTCGAGGAAACTCTCGTACATCCGTCGCCGAGCGAATGTCGACTCCATGAGAATACGGCGGAACGTCAGGCGATCGAGCGCCCACAGGGTGCATCCAGATTCGGCAGAGATGACAGTCGCAGCTCGGGGAGCGTTGTACATCAAGGCCAGTTCACCAAATGAGCCCCCTGCCTGGATGGTACCGACTTTCTGGCCCATGCCCTCGGGGCCAGGCTGCAGGGTACCGCTGCTGTTGACATATACGTCAAATGACCCTTTCTCTACAACGTAGAAGAAGTCGCCCGCGTCACCTTGGCTAATAACCTGTGGCGGAGTGTTAGGCAGCTCCAAAGCACCATCCTATCAACTGGACTTACCTTGATATCCTTGGCGGGAATGGGTTTCTCATTCAGCGCGCCCAGAATCTGGCCGCTCTGTTCCTCATCTAGGTGGGAGAACAAGAAATTGCCCTCAATGGCAGTTTGCAAACGACCCAACTGCTCTTTGGTCTTCTCGTGATAAGGGGGCGACCAGTTGTCGTATGTGTCGGCGCTAGGCTTGAGAGACTCAGCAGAGACCGAGGTTCGGCGGCCAAAATTGTACTGGGCAGGGTAACTCTCGGGGTTCGGTGGGCTTCTCAGCGCAGAAGGCGCGGCGTCGTCTGCGGCATCACCGCCGAATGGGCCGTTGAAAGTCATTCCAGTATTCATACCGAAATTTGGTGATGTCGGAGAAGTAACAGTATCATTCTCTTCCTCTTCGATTACACGGTGAATGGCATTGCCTCCTGCAGGAGGTCCATCGGTAGGTCCTCCGAAAGGATTGGCGTTTGCCCCGAAAGGACTCTTGAACATGCCGGACATGGTTGCAGTATAGCTACTTGTACAAGGATGGATGTTTTCGATTCGAGGAAACAGACCGTCACGAATCGCCTGAAGGAAGGTTTTCGGCCGGCGCAGCTTGCAACGACGTTGACAGCGAGTAAGTTGGTAAAGAGCTGTATGCGAACTATTTGTGCTCAGATCAGCTTCGGCCCACGACGTCCAGGCAGTAGTGTGAGGAATGTTGGAGGGTTGCCAGAGGGTTGCCAGGTTCGCTGAGGTCTTCGGGGTGGATGGTGAATAAAAGAATGTTGCGAAATTGGTGGGGTCGTTGAGCAGGGTGCAAGTAAAGAAGCACCTAATGCTTCGTCCCCGCGTTCAGGCTGCACCAATCAAGCTGGACACCGCTGGCCAACGACTGCGTAGGGTACAGGCAAGGAAATGAAATGAGGCGGATCGTGTTCAACAGGCTGGAAGAGCTCTGACGTAGTAGGGTGGCAAGATTCCGAATAGATACCACGTGAACAAGGGAAGGAGAGATGGGATAAGATGAATACCAGGGACTCTCAAGTTGGTATCAAGAGTCCGGTGCAGATAACAAGAAGGCTGCGAAGAGCAGAAGCTGTTGAAGCGAGATGACAAGCAAGGGAAGGCCGGTGTTTGATGGGCTTAACCTTGACAATTGGGCTGGGGCTGCGCGTGGCAATAAATGGACGGGAGCTATTACTTACCACAGCGGGAGGAGCTAGCTAGTAGGGTGATGATGATCTGGGCGGGGAGCTCGCTAGCTTTCGTGATATTGGCCACCGACTATTGAGGTAGGAGGATGCTGTCAACCGTATACTGGAGCGAAGAACTGGCAGGACCGGGAAGGAGATTTATTGATAGCTCAAACGCGGATGAAGATCTCCGAGAGCAATACGTGAGAGAAGGGAGAAGGAGGAAGAGAGGGTCGCTAGTCAACTTCGTGCGGTGAAGCAACCAAGGGTACGGTAAGGTCGAGGTCGTGAATGCCGTTAGCTGAGAAATGGGACAGACGAGGGGCGAAGCAAGTGGCCGATTGCTCTCGTGCTGTCGTCCGGTTTCAAGGTTTGGCCACGAGGATAGCGTTCGCTTGTTTGTTCAGGTCGAGGGAAGCGGAAGGAGGCAACGTGATGAGAGCACGAAATGAAGAATGGCAGAAGTGGAAAAGGCCAAGGGAAGGGAAGCTTTTTGGGTTCGGTTTAGGGACGTGGATTGCTCTGGGATGGGGGGGAAGAAGGTGGGGGGGTTGAGAAGCAGGAGGCACGGAGGGCCTTTGACGCATCGCTGCTTCCAGTCAAACAACAGCAGCAAAGAAGCAGGTGCTCCCCTCCTTCCCTCCTTCCATTGCTCCTCAATGTCCCCATCTCCTTCCACAAGGTGACGGTGAGGTCCTAGCTTTTGAGGGGCCCTGCTGCCCCGGTTGGCCAGTCATGACCGTCGAAGAGTTCTAGAAGGCGCACAGATCAGCTTGTGGCCGGCTGCCGCTTGCCTTCCCTGCAGCCCGAAGTGTCCGGGCTTCACCTTCCAAGCCGCTTCGGTTGCGATTCTGTGCAGCTCTCAGCGACGCCTCTGACTGGCTCAACTTGCAAATCAACCCAGGCTTGCCAGGCATCCCAGGACACCTTGCCTGCTTTCATTCCATTGCCTCCTTGCCTCCTTGCCTCAGATGATATCCAGGCCGGTACGTACTCTCCCACTGAGGCATCTTGGATCCCCTGGTTTCGGCCATGTCATCATGGGGACGGCCTCCCGTGGAATTTCAGGGCGCTTTCAGTGGGACTACCCCGTCCACCCGCAATTGCCCCTCACCAAACCTCTCCTGCCAGTGGCTCCTTCATTCGATAGCCCGCTGATCAAAGCCGGTACAACCCTTTTAGGGGTACGGGCAAGGGGGAACGATCCCTTTCCCAGCCAAAGTTGTGGGAGCTGCTTGGTCTCAGGATGCACTTTCCAAACGACACCTCGGCCTGCCGCTTTCACCAGGCCGCATTGTCGAGTCCTTTTCAGACAGCCAAGTCTCGCCTACAGCTGAATCCTTAATGCTTTACGACGGCCCATGTTTGTTTGCGAAATCGTCATTTTAAGCAATGGCCTATAAGGTGTGATATAAGACAGAGTCAATCTGGGATGTTCTGTGACTTGTTCTAGAAACACTGGGAACTACGCTGAACCATCTTTCATGGCTGGGTGAGCAGTGACTTGCAACTGCTTCATCAAAGTCCATGTCCCTTGGCCGTGATAAGTGTCCCTTGACGAGACTGCCCTTCAAAGCTCCTGATGGCAAATACTTACAATTGGATCAGGTGCTCGTCCAACGTAAGCGTTCTACAACTGCATTCTACATCAGCTACCGCCTGGTATACGAAGGCTGAGAACTATGATTCATAACTAATTACAACCCGGCGGCCATATGATGAACATACTCTGTAAGTTGAGACAACGATGGAAAATGAAGACCGAGCGTACGACAGACAGCCAGGGACCAAAAGTAACCAAAGCACTATGACAGAGTTCTAGCTAGGACCAGCGGAAGATCAGTAATATTCGTCTTCTACAATTCAAGGCACACCAAGAAGACAACATCACCCCTCGTACCGGAAAGAAAAAACATGAACAGTATCGTCATTGGAAGCCAGGAAGAGGAGAAGACCATCCAGTGTCCGAGCTGTGGCACTGGGCGACGATCCTGGCGACGAACTGGGCTTACAGTAGGGATCATAGTCAGCAAACTTTCTCCAATTTTCAGCAATCCGATATGGTGTAGTGGCCAACATGATGCCCTCTCATCTCACATGAGAGGTTAGGCATAGCCCCGAGTTCGATTCTCGGTTTCGGAACATTTTGCTCTTTTGGGTGCACAATAGTCGAATGATGACAAAATTTTGTTCATATGTGGAGCTCTATAAGTTTTTTTTAACCACTCAGAGTAGAAGCAATTTGCACTTTCTCTTGACGTGCATGTGCTATTGTGGTTATATTTTTCAAGGGACGAGTTCACGCCTCTGTACATAGCAGTAGGCCCAAGGTGGATAAGCAATCACTGAATGTCACTGAAAAGCACTACGGTGGGGCTATGGATCTTTCTTTACGAGTGTTCCATTCATAGAAACCATTTGGGAGTTGGACTGGGCAGGCCTCACCAAATAACTACACAGAACAATCATAAGGCATTCTGTGGTACCAAAAAACTTATATTTGTTCAATGCATCTTTGACGTCTATTGTTCCCTCTGACTGATTGGCTGCATCCATTGTCCTATGCCTACGCATGTACGTATGTACAGAGGACTGTACGGAGTTCTGCGTACAGTGCATTAGGTATTTGCAGGGACCCAGTTAACAACTGAACGGCGGCTGCCAGTGCTCCGTGTCGACGAGGAAGTGGATTGCTCAGCCACAACGCTAGACCCAATATACGCACCCAATGCCAAGCCACAATTACGCTGACTTCCGGCTCTCCTGTCTGTCCGGGTAAGCGCATTCTAGTTTGGCCTTCTTCGACAGCAACAGATCGCCAACATCACCAACATCAATCGCGCGCATACCTTCTGAGTGCACGATTGCCCAAGATGCCCGATCCATCACCTGGCGTCAACCACGCCGACTCCATCGAATCGCAACATGACACTGGAAAGAAGGAAGACAAGAAGAAGAGCCGCCGCCCAGCGAGTATGTGGAAGCCCCGGAAGGAAGCCAACCTCCCTTCGGCAATCGCGGAATCGCTGGGAAACGATGAAACCGATGATCATGGTACTGATACATGCTTTTGAACAGACACGGCATTCAGACAACAACGGTTGAAGGCATGGCAGTAAGTTTGGCAACAGCTCTTTGGAGACGACTAGTCGCAAGGGAATATCGGTGGCTGACTGCTACAGGCCGATTTTGACGCCCAAGACCGTCCTCCCTCTCTTCTTCACGATCGGAATCATATTTGCTCCGATCGGTGGACTCTTGCTCTACGCGAGCGCGAAGGTAAGCATAGCCTTAATACAGCGAAAAAGCCACTACTGAAACGCGCGCTTCAAAGGTAAAGGAAATTCGCATCGACTACACAAACTGCCTCACCGAAGCGACCTCGACTCTCGGTGAAATGGACTCGAAATACATCAGCACTGCGTTTAAGAGCGACGACCAGACGAAGAATGCCGAGTGGGCTGTGACAACTGTCGATGTCACCGACGGACCGATTACATACGAGGCGAAGCAGTGCAGAATTCAATTCAGAATTCCTGAGGATATGGGACCACCTGTCCTGTTCTATTACCACCTGACGAACTTCTACCAGAACCACAGACGTTATGTCGCTTCATTTTACGACAAGCAGCTTAAGGGAAATGCCGAGTCCGCAAGCAACGTGAACAGCTCTTCCTGTGAGCCCCTGGAGTGGGATTCGGATGCCCTGAAGCCGTACTACCCTTGTGGTGAGTCTTTACGCAGTCTACTGGCTCATTAGATCACATATTCACATAGCGACAGGTCTGATTGCGAACTCCATGTTCAACGATACGTTTACTTCGCCCCGCATGCTCCAAGAGGACTCGATTTACCCGATGAAGAACAACTCGGGTATCGCCTGGGCGTCCGACGCTGACCTTTATGGGGAAACCAAGTACGACCCAGCTGATGTCGTGCCACCGCCAAACTGGAGAGTCCGGTACCCTAACTACACCACTGAGCACCCTCCGCCCAACATCGCCGAGTGGCAGGCCTTCCAGGTTTGGATGAGGACTGCTGGGTTGCCAACTTTCAGCAAGCTCTACCAGCGCAACGACGACGAGACGATGAAGGCCGGCACGTACGAGGTTAACATCACCGATAGTAAGTATCTATTCAACAACCCGACTCATCGTTCAGTACTAATCCAGACGCAGATTTCCCAACCACTGAGTACAAGGGAAGCAAGTCCATCGTTATCACCACACGAACGATCATGGGTGGCAGAAACCCTTTCCTGGGCATCGCCTACATAGTAGTCGGCGGCATGTGCATCCTTCTAGGTGTGATCTTCACTGTCACCCATCTCATCAAGCCGAGGTAAGCAAGTTATGCTGCTGTCCCACGCCCCTTCAAAACCTCGATACTGATAACCCACCTAGAAAGCTTGGTGATCATACCTACCTCTCCTGGAACAATGCCCCTGGCTCCAAGCCGGGAGCCGGTCCCAGCTCGGCAATGGCTTCAGGTCGCGAAGTACGACCCGGCGAAGCCTAGAAGGCCCGCGATGAGTCGCTGCGCCCTCTTCGTGCGCGTGCAGCATCTGACTCAACCGAACCTTTTGTGACATCGACGAGACTGGCATACAGTGTGACGGCATCGTCGTCAGTCGGGGGCCAGCGCATCGTTTTCCCCCTGTCGCATTTGTGAGACTGGGCAAGCCAACGCAGCATTGATTTGGAAGGCTAGCATCGCGGCGTTTTTGTACGGAATGACATGAAATTGTACGAGTAACGGGGGCCTCGACTGAACGAGGGAAACCCCGTCCTTCACAGCGTCTCCCGCTGCCGAGGAGAGGATCAGGAAGGGGGACTTTTGTTTATGGTATTCTTTACCGGCTGGTCAAGGACGCGCATTGTTTGTTCTGCTTTCTCCTTTCATGAACTTTTTGGGTTTTCGACCCTGCATGATGAGCTTTTTTTCAGCCCCCCCTTACAAAGGGAGGACGAGGTAGGCAACCAGCAGAAACCAAAAACGTTCCTTAGCTTACCGAGGGAATCTGGAGTTCGAGGGTCAAGGGTCAGGTAGACCATCAAATTATTGTTTCGATGCATGATTAAATCAGTTTCATTTGGAAAACTTATGCTCGTCTATTGCACTGCGTCGTTGCTCGAGGTCAATAAGCGGTGTCAAGAGAGAATAATGTATGCCCTCGCTGGCCTTCATGATGCAATCACAAGGTAGGGATGGACCGAGCATATCCATTCGGGAATCATCATGGATTAATAAGAAAGCTATCTGTTCCGTCGCCCTGAAGGCCGCAAGAGGCGGCCCGCGTTCACCAAGGACCTCTCCATACTCTCTCCACCCTAGACGCCTACACAACAAATTTGATAATACAATTGATACCAAAAACAATGCACGCATGGAAAAACGCTTCCGTGTGTACCTACGATTCCCCATTTCTCATCAAATGGTGCCCTTCCACGAGCCAAATGCTCAGTGCTTCCTCTTCTTGCGGCCGCGGTCGTCATCGTCACCACCGCCACGGGCGTCCTCCCGATCGCGCTTCTTGGCCTTTGCCTCGAGCTCGTCCCAGTCCTCACCCTCGTCTTCATCGCTCATCTCGGCGTCATCCTCCTCGTCAGAGACGTTTGAACCAAAGTCAGAGTCTTCCTCGCTTGATTCGGAAGCCTCGTCAAGCTCGTCAGACTCGATCTCAAAGTTACTCTCAGGCTCAGACTCCTCGCCCTCGTCATCAGACTCTGCCTGCAAGAAGGACCAACCACCATCGATGAAGAACTGGTGGGTGTCAGCCGTGACCGTCTTCATGATGGTCGGCCAGTTCAGGTTGAGGGGACCCTCAGAGTATGCAATATCTGAAGAGTCCAAGAACTCCTTGACGTGGTCGAGAAACTCCACTGGAATAGTGTTGACGTGGTAAGGTGCTCTCGTGAAATCTTTGAAGACGAAAACCAAATCAAAGTTCTTCAGACCGAACTGCACACGTTCCAAGTGAGCCACTTCTATATCGTCCAATGTGATGACCATGAAAGGCGGCTCGACAACCTGGATCAGGCATTCTGTGGTGGGCTGGATGAAGACGTTGCTTCGGAAAGGCACACCGTGGAAGCCAAGGTCCCTGATGGGGACATCTACTTCGATGTTCTCGTTCTTGCCAGCCTCGGCAATCTTCTGGGCAAAGCCTTGGAACAGCCGGTCAAGCTCGGCACGGCGACGACGCTCCTCCTGTTCCTGCTCGAACTCGTCCTCGTCACCGTAACGGTATTTTCTCTTGCGGTTGCCTGTTTCATCGAACTGGATATCAGTCGCCTCGCGGTAAAACTGCACGTCCTTGGTCTTCTTCTTGTTGGCCACCATGATGGGGTCTTTCAGGTGAATGTGGATGATGACGATCAACTCGTGCTGGCAAGGCTGGAAGAATAGGTGGCGAACGTTTGAGAACAGAATGTCGACACGTTGCTGCGTGCTAAGCGGCGACTGGTATCGAATACCATTCTGGTGGATCTCCACCTTGCCAGGAACTCGCTTTCCTTCCATGGCAGGGCGAATGAAGACATTGTCGAGCACAGCAGGACGGCGATCTAGCAAAGTTCGTTAGTAGGCTTCTCGGGGCGATCAAGGAAGGGGCTAGCTTACTTCTTATTTCGACGAGCTTGTCCTGCTCGACAACATCCTCCAGCTCCTTCTTCTCCTGCTCCTTCTTGTTCACATCCCGCTTCATATTGGAAATCTGGGTGGCGATTTCTTGGTAGCGGTCGCCATCCGTCGACCGGAATGTCAGACTTCTGACGAAATGGGCTGACGCATCCTCGAAAGGCTGGTCGTCTTTGCGACCGACTCCCTGACCAGGTGAAAGAAGGTTGATTCTAAGGAACGACCAGTCGCCCTCATCACTCTTACTGGCGTTCTTGATCGTGTTGATATGGAACGGCACAGGACGACCCATGACGGGAAGCACCACTGTGTCATTTCTCGCATCAACCACGATCTGTAGTTCGCGAACCTTGGGAGGGAACTGGTTGTCGCGCTTGTATGAGTCAAAGCGCTTGAACTTCTTCACCTCTTTGCCGTTCTGCCCACTGGTGGACTCAGAGAAGCGTGCCAGACCTTCCTTTTGCTTCTTTGACGCCAAGTCCTTCTGATGTTCTCGGCGTCTCTTGTCCGCATCGTCATCGACTGTGGTTGTCCGCTCGGATCTTAACCTCGTAGAAGTGATGTTTTTAGTAGCAACAGCACCAACTCGGGAATCCTTCTTTTCCTTCTTGGGCGTAGGCTGAGCCTCCTCCTCGTCTTTGAAGAAGAAGGAATTCGAATCCGCGTCAATGGGAGTATCTCCGGTGAAAACGACTGCCTCGCTCGATGTCACACGGATCGTGTCGGTGATGACCAAAGAGTAGATCTTACTGCTCTTGTCCTGTGGTTGAGGGTTCTCAATATCGCTAAAGCCGGTTGTGATGACAAGAGTCATGCCATCCTTCAGCGCTCGGGAGTTCTTGGCGTTGAGAATCAAGGTCGGGTCTCTGTTCTCCAAACCGACACCCCAACCAACGTTTTTCAAGAAGTGTTTCTCCAAATCAGGTTTCTTGGCCTTGATCATGCTCAAGGCCTTGTTGTAGACCTCCTTGATAACGACGCCATCGCGAACCTCTTTGAGGATCATGTTGTGGATGTTGAACAGAAGCTTGTAGTTGCTCTCTTGAGACTTGTTGGGGTCAACGAGATACGTGCGCGCGATAGCCGAGCAATACGACTTGTAGCGCAAGCCCATAGCAGCAACAATAGTACCGGGGTGCAAAATGTCGTCGTTGCTCTCTGAGTTCATCTTCAGGTCGTATTTCCCACCACTCTGCACAAGAGGGCCCAAAACCCAGTCCAGCTGTGCGGGGTCCAGGTCTGCAGGAAGTTTGGTCTTGTTTGGAAGCTCAACCGTCTTCCAGAACTTGTTATCGTCGAGCTTCTTGTCGACCTTGTCTGCCAGTGCGCTGTGCTTGACCTTCTTCTCCTTATCAAGAATGTCCGACATTTCTTCGAGGAAGAAGGGGGTCATCAGGGCGACGCAGGCCTTGGAAGCGGTTCGCATGGCTCGGAGCTCGGTTTCGTCCTTCACGGAGAAGGCGTGCTGGGAAAGGGCTTGGGAAACGTCGACCTCTTCGATGTCTTTGCATTGATCGGCGAAAACCTTCTTCCACTCTTCGATGAAGGGACCCTTAGAGGTGTCCTTGGCAATGGTGCCAACTTTGCTCTGCGAGACGATTGAATTAGTAACGATCGATGTTGGTCGCACGTAGCAACGACTTACGCCCGAGGATTTGATGACTTCAGCGAGCTTGACAAAAAGCTTCTCGTTCTCTGCGGCGTCCTTGCCTCGGACGAGAACCTCAAGAGGGAATCGGCCGTTCTTCAACTGTTCCAGATGTTTCGCTGGCATTGAGTTAGCTGACGCTCGTTGTGTGTGCGGCGCAGTGATGGCGAAAACTCCTCACCTTTCTTCGCAGTCGTGAGGATGTAGATCTTCTCGGTCGTGAGCAGCATCATCGTCGTCGGAAATTCGTAGCCAAGAAGCCAAAACTAATTGCGGAAAAAAAGAGAAAGTCAGCTCGTGATCTGTGCATGGTGACGATGGCAAACACAATGGGAATGGCTGTGTCGCCGCGGATTAGAAGGGAGGCGACTAACGTGCATGGCGTTGTTCTTGTGCAGCTCGGGGACCTCCTCCACCTTGCCCATCATCACGACGATGGACGAGGCGCCGTGGAAGATGTTGCCATCCTTGGATCGCAAGTCATTCTTCCAGGCGCTGGCGAGGCGCGAAGTGCGCTCGTGGAAGGCCTTGTTGTCGATCTTGATCTCCGCCATCGTCGCTGCGTAGTGAGTGACGGATTTATTGGCAGAGAAGGGGTGAAGAACGAAAGGTTCCAGGTTGCTGCTGGCGACGCGAGATCCGAAAAATCCACCGCGTAAATTGGGAGAGGTAGGAGCTCTGCACGTGACCCGCCTCGCGCTTTCACTTTCTTCCCACCTAAGGTTCTTACTTGTAGGCAGTCACGTCAGTTGGCTGCAAGTTGCTGGGGGTCGCGGCGCGATTGTTGGTGGAGTAAGGTACCGTGGAGAAGCTGGCGGGGATACGGAGCAGGTGAGTTGGGCCTGTTCACTGTTCGGGTGGCGAGCTAGCGCGAAAGTGCTGAAGGAGTGGGAGCTTTGGCGACCTAAGGTATTTAATTACCAGTTGGTGTCAGTGGTAAGTTGGTAATTGCTGTGCAACTGGTAGGACGTCAAAGCTTCCTGCCCAGGCCTGCACCTTGAACTGGAGTTCTTTGCGAAGTCCACCATGGAATTTCTCTCAGGCGGCAGCAAAGAAAGCCAATCCTCAGAAACCCAGAGAGGGAAGGAGCAGGTCCAGCACGTTGCGCAACAGATCAAGCAGGGCACAGGTAACATTATTGCTAGGAGCGTTAGCGACTCAAAATCAGAGTCCCGGACAGCCAGGTACTTATTCCGAAGTTCCATTCATGAAGACCAAGTGCTCGCAAGGAAGCATCCGTAAGGTACTAAGGGACAGAAGAAGGACGGGTCACTGTCAACCTAAGTCTTGGAAAACAACAGATCCATCTCGCTCCTGCTAATCCTGTAGACTTTGCGATTTGGTTGGCAATGATGAATAAATACCATTTTCATTGTATCTAATGCTCGATTCTTCTCGGTGGCATAACAACATTAATAGAATACACCTCTCTGACTCTATAGTATCACCTCCATATTTACTCCATGCAAGTCATCCCCAATCCCCAGGGAGATAAACGAGACGGCTCTCCACTGAAAAAAGTGTTCCCACCTGTCACCGACATATTCAGGAAGTATCCGTACCCGAGAGTGCCCTGCCGAATTGCCCGAATGTTCCTTGAGAGACTTGTAGGTTACAGTCGGGTGTCCCAAGCGACACCGGCATCGCGCCGGGACAGCATTCAACCGGAAGACCCAGAAATTTGGCAAGAGGGGGGAAGAACGCTCGCTCGGCCCGTCCGATTTTCGGGATGTGGAGACGGGACTTATACGCAACCCCGCGTAAACCCCTCGGATGAAATAAAAGAAGGCATTCCGTAAACCTCACTTTCCTAACTTGAAGATATCATCACTTCACAGGTCAAAACCGCCAACCACATCGGGTTACATGAGCTCATTCTCAAGGTTCCTCAACCTTTTCAAACCCAGAAAGAAACCAACCATACCCCTCACAACACCATCACCAAGAAACCCTTCCCCCTTCGCAAACCCCCCAAAACCATCCAAAATGCGTCTCCCCTACGTCCCCAACCCTCCCCAAACCACAACCCCCGAAGACGCCGCCATCGTCTCCCGCATCCAAGCCCGTCGCGCGCCCCGTCCTCTCCAGGCCCTAGACCTGACCCTCCTGCACGCGCCCCCCGTCGCCGATGGCTGGAACTCCTTCCTCGGCGCCGTCCGCACCCAGACCACCATCCCCGCCGACCTCCGCGAGCTCGCAATCTCCCGCGTTGCCGTCGTCAACAAGGCCTGGTATGAGTGGGGCCACCACGCGCCCCTCGCCGTCGCCGCGGGCGTCTCCCAGGAAGGCATGGACGCCATCAAGACCGAGACCCCGCTCGACCTGGCCAGCCGCCCCGCGCTGTACCTCAGCGAGAAGCAGTGGGCCGTGCTCGTCTACTCGGACGAGATGACGAGGAACGTCAGGGTCAAGGACGAGACGTTTGCCAAGCTCAAGGAGCTGTTTAATGAGAGGGAGGTGGTGGAGATTACGACGACGGTGAGTTCTTCTTCTTCTCGGTGGAAGGGGGGATGAGAAGGGGCTGAGGCTGGGAAGTGAGAGAAGCTGACGAACGAATCCAGGTTGCGTGCTATAACTGTGTGAGCAGATTCCTGGTGGCTCTCGATGGTAAGATGGGACCCCCTACGTCTTCAAGTCGAATCGATTCTAATATTCAAGCAGTCGGTGAGAGGAACAGCACTGGGCCTGACGATGTGGCTCTGCCTTCCCACTAAGCCAAAGAACGCGCAAGACAGGATCCAAACAGTATGCTTAAGCCAGGGGATCTTGTATTGAATTGGGAAAATGAAAAGACTAACTGATCAAGTGTAGTGTAAATATGCCATGGGGCTAATAATGCTGTGAAAAAGGGGTATCTCATCTAAGTGAAGTGATGTGTAAATCCTCCTGCTAAACGGTTCAAAAAAGTAAAAAATTCTCTTCACCCCCAATCCTCTCCGTAAACCTCCCATGAACCTCCCGTGAGACTCCTGTGAACCTCCGTGCCCGCCTTGCGCCTGTGACCCCTCCGTTTTCTTCATAAAGTTCGTGCCCGCAGTGAGAACTGCGGGCGTGGGAGAGCTGACAGATAGTCTGCCAATGATGCCCACCAAAGAAGCTTCTCCGAGGCCTCAAGCTGAGTGCCACCAGATAATATGTCGTCTGTTCAATATGTATATGCAAGTGTTCATACGTCGTTAGTGCCATGTAACCTGTAGTCGTAAGCCGGTAAATCGTTCTTCGTCGTAGTTTGCGTATATGTAGGTGCCGTCTATAGAGTTTCGACGCTTTCCCATGTCTGCTACAAGCAACACTCCCTGAATCCATCGTCGTATCAGATCGTCAGCTTGGAGTTGGCCAACTCCTGTTCGATGGATCTTTCGATGGAGGAGCGTCGCTTGTGCATCCGGGGACTCTTTTGCAGTTCCTGAACCACCCCCGCCCAACCCAGCTTGTGCCCGGGTTGCGTAGTCTCGCGATGACCGATAGCTTGGGTAGTTAGCCTTCGCAGCGGCGGCCGCTCTCGAATCTCCTCCGTCAAGGCGCGCGTCAAGTGGGCGTTTAGGTTGGTCATTGGGGGTGTGAAAGGGGAAACAGGTGTCTTTTCCGGGTCTCTTTGCGGTGTCGTTGGTGTTGCGACGGGCATTTGACGTTCTGCTGTGACGTTTGCCCGATCCGCGACCACACCCATGTATACTACGAGGAAGCGCATCCTCACGAGATCCAGCCGGCGCACACGCTCCTCGAGATCGCGGCGCTTGCTCGCCCAGAGAAGGCGGGCGCTCAGGCGTAGAGAAGTGGTGTCTTCGGAGAGAAGCAGCAAGTTGATCTCTTCACGCAGGTCATCGCCGCCCTTCTGGATCTCGCGCAGAAGTCGACCTAAGCGGAGCTTATCTTCTAGGCGCTGAACCTTGGCAACGTCGCGATCGTAGCTCTCGTTCTCCTCGACCGAAAAGTCGACGGCATCGATAAAAGATGTGATCTCGTTGGGAGCGACACGATAAGCAGTGATATACGTTGTCAGGATCTGGGAGAGTACGACGAGGGAAAGGAGGAGCGCGGTTAGAATGAGGACGAACGTCCACTGGCGCGCTTCGTTCTCGGCCATGGCGGAGAGCGAAGCACGTAAGAGAAGAGTGTAAGTGGCGAGAGACTATCGCACCATGATGCGACGGAAGGGTTATTCGTCAATAAGTATGCGTAGGCCTACACCAGGATGTGATCCGCGACGGACAAAGGCAGTGTTCAAAGTAGAGAGACGGCACAGTCAAGATGTGGAAGGAGGGAGGAGGCAACGTTGATGACGACTGAAGTGTGTACACGAAATCGGAGGAGAGGAAGGGCAAGGAGGGCAAGGAGGGCAAGGAGGGCATGGAGGGCTTCGCGGTGGTATTACTGTACTCCCGTCATGACCGTTGACGGCAGGAGTTGGTCGTTCCGCTCCGCGCAGTGCTGTGCGCGCCAGTACGACGTTAGGGTCTGTAAGTCGGGTTCCAGATGCAGCGCAATCAAATAATGCCTCCTCTTCCTTGCCTTTTCCTGCCCCTCTTGGATGCGGCCTCCCTTGCATCTTTTTGCTCGTGAGGTGCAGCCACTGGGCGGCATGAGCCAATAAATGGCACCGAGGTCGCTCCTAACGGGTCCTGTTCGTCGACTGTGGGATGCGACGCTCCCATGGTTGGTGGTCTCCCCTGCAGCTGCATATTGGAGCGTCACCTGTCACTGGACAGACGAGGGTAAACTTCTGTATCCAGCATGGCTTCACTGTGGCCCGAACGTGGCTCGAGAACCGATCCGATGGGGCCGGTGTTCTTCTTCTGCCCTAGACGGTGGGAACTTGGAAGTCGAGGGCTGAGCTTGTGACCAACAGTAGCACTCATCATCGCGGCCCTCGTCTTCGGGGCTTCGTTGGGTGGATTTGTGCGTATCCACTGTGATGCATATCGTGGGCAAAGTCCACCGACTGGTGTCAAGATGGGGAGAAACCCTCGGGCGGATTGTGACTTTTGGCGGTAGAAGACGCGACGGGAAGGGCTAGAACCTGGAACCTGGAACCCAGCATTGCGGACGGCGGTGGGCGATGGGCGAGGGGTAAGTTCCATGGTGAGGGGTTGTCTGGCGGTCAGCGAGCGAGACAAGATGAGACGACTGGGCGAGGCGGGACGGAACGGCATGTCTGCTTCTGTTGGTGCTGGTGCTGGTGCTGGTGCGATTGTCTAGCCGAAATCGTGATGAAGAGAAGATGAAAGGCATGGAAGGCATAATTAGTTACAACTTGGTGTAATCAAAGTGTGCAGCTGCAGGATTGTTCGCTTGTCTCCAATACCTTGATTTCAGTCAGGTACCTTACATACTTTGGAAGCGCCATAATGTGCCATCCGAACACTGCAACCTGCGGGTTCTGTTTGGCTCCACGCACCGGCCATGTAAGAGGCTGGACACTTGCATCTTGAGTGGCTTACTGACTTTTAACCCTTGCGCTTGCGCTGCGTTTGTTCTGCATTTCAGGTCAGCGGGGATGTTTAGCTCACTGGATCACCGGTAGGTGCAGGATGAGTGTTAGTTGCTAGCCAAGCCGCCACAACAACTGGACGCTCATGTTAACTAACCATTTGGCGCGACCAGAATACAAGCAGAACTTAAGTTCGTGAGGACAAGCCGAACAACATCGGCATTAAGACTTGCTGTGAAAATCAATCTTTCCCCAAACGTGCCACCGGGTTTGCCATCATCAAGATGCGCAACAGCAGGCGCATTGGAGCGCATGTAACCTATCGCGCCGACCTAGATAATCCCAGGCTGCATGAAATACGGAGCAGTGGATAACGTGTCGACATCCCCAGATCCACTTTCCCAATCTAGACCTTTAGATCTCAACATATTCTTGAGGGGGCTCACTTGTGTGAGTTTGGAAATCACGTATTATCACACCGAAATAGGTACAATCAAGTGAGGTTGATGAGTCAATTCATCTCTACCTGCAGGATTATCTGGAGATATGCATTTTCGTGCAAGGGGTATCAAATTCCATCTGCTTCCTCAGTCCTGCCACGCTCCACGCCAAATTGGCGATGAATTTAGTGCTGTCTGGCCTCGGCCTGCTTCTGAATGTCATGCTCGGCACCACGCTGCTGAGTCTTGCCCGTGTCGTGAAGACCCTCGTAGTGGGCCTGGCCAGCCTTGTCGCCGGTAAGGCCAGCGACGGCACCACCAATGGTGCCCTGGACACGGTTGCCAATGCCAGAAGTGTAATCGTTGAGCTGGCCCTTAGCCTCCTGCTGCTGGCCCTCGAGGTTCTGCTCACGACCTTGCTGCTTCAAGTTCTGTAGCCACGCTGTCAGCTTACTGGGTGCCTATGGAACAGGGAGTGGACTTTGTGGGCAAGCTTACCTCGGAGCCCACGAGACCACCAACAGTCTCCTTGGCAGAGCCAACGGTCTGGTTCCAGGAGCCGCCAGCACGATCGGGGTCGTCCTTGGTCACACCACCAGCGGTAGCAGTGAAGCCGGGAATCTTAGCAGTAGCGTGGGAAGCATCGTGTTCGAGCTGTGCCTTGTCCTGCTTGGCCTCTCCCTTGTTCTGATCGGCAGTGCTGCCGGTAAGAGAGCCGAGGAGGTTCTGGGCAGCGCCAGTGGCAGAGTCGACGTACGACTTGAGGGTGGAAGTGTTATCGTTGTTGGCAGCCATGGTGAAGATTGTGTGGTTTGATTGCTCTGATGAGTCTGATTGATCAAATAATGTGTAATGCTTGTAGGTTGCGTTTGATGGATGGAGTGTGTTGTTGATGTGGGAACAGAGTGATGGCGTTGCTGAGGAGGATGGATGGTATTTATGAATGGAGAGAACCACGTCCAGGCTCCTCCACTTCCTTAGGCAGGGAGCATGTGAATCGCCATTGTTCTGGCAACAGCGATGGCATTTGCCAGACGAAGCTGAAGGTGTGATGTCATTTTGGAGATGGTTCCTGTGGCTGCAAGAGCAGAGGAGGGGGCCACTTTGGGTCATTGTGGAGGACAAACGCGGGATGGAGGGGCAGCTTCGTACCCTGCGCACCTTCCATGATGTCATTTTGCGACTTCGCGCCTTCCGAACTAACGACCACGCCATCGTCGCGGCGTCGCCCCTTTCCCCGTGCCCCCCAATTCCCAACACACCTTCAGGCTTCACGCTTTTCGTCTGGAAAGATGAGACGCCCTGCATACTGCGTAAGGTGCCTACCGGTAAGGTAGGTAGGCCATGTGAGCCCACAACAGACGTAATGAGGGCCAGTCTGGACCTTCCCTCTCCGACACACTACCATTTGAGGAATGGTTGATGATGCACTTCTTCCGCCCGCCTTGGCAAGAGCTGCCCCCCCAACTTGCAAGTTGTCATCTACATGGCCATGCCGCAACGACAACGCCTATCTGCCTGCCTACCATATTGTCTATGCCATCGTGGTTGGGCAAGCAGGGTATCAAGACAGCATTCGTACTGTAGGCAGTGCAAGGCAAATTCATCCTTGCATTAGACCGCTGAAGAAGCCGGAACAACCGGTGACATTACGCTTGCTCTATTTAGCTTGCTTGCAGTGATTGGCGGTTCGAGACAACGAACTCTTGACACGCTTGATGTTCCCGCAGAGACCCGTGGCGCCTGAGGAATCATGTCAAGGCTTACGAAGTCTACCAGACTGTCACTTGTAGGCCACACCGTCGACCAGTACATAGAGCTCTCGCTTGCGTGTTTGTCCATAGCTCGAAGCTTCTCTATTGTAATTCATACTGAGAGAAGTTCTTTTGATGAGATCGCTCACAACCGTAGTATACAGGCCAAATTCTTCATGGTAAAAACAGCCGATTGCCGCCGTGCCGGCTCTTCCCGGCGCCTGGTCTTTCCAACCAGTATCTCGACTCTCCATGGTTCCCGATCCCAACTCCAATATCCCTGAGCAAAAACGAAAGGCTGGCTGTTAAGGTATCTCAAATGTGGGTTTTAATACAAGCTACTCCGGGTAGGAAAAACTCGGGTGTCTTCCTGCAAGATCCTCGACGGGCTCACAAGGGTCGAGTGCTGAAGAGTGCAGGTGTTGATGCGGAGGTGTGCATCATGTCGAGCATGCCCTTAGTGCTGGCTCCACTGGATAGTGTTGAGGTCAACACCCTCCTGCACCAACTCCCAAAGCGGGCTCAGCTCGCGCAGGAAGTCGACTCTTTCCTTGACTGCCTTGAGGACGTAGTCAATCTCCTGCTCGGTGGTGAAACGGCCAATACCGAATCTGATACTGCTGTGCGCGCTCTCATCGCTATTACCCAAAGCACGGAGAACGTAGCTGGGCTCCAGAGAAGCAGAGGTGCAGGCACTGCCAGAAGACAGCGCAATGTCCTTCAAGGCCATCAGGAGAGACTCGCCCTCAACATAGGCGAACGAAACGTTGACACATCCAGGGTAGAAGTGCTCAGGGTCGCCGTTTTGGGTGGTGTGCTCCAACGACAACAAGCCATTGAGGAGTCTGTCGGATAAGAACTTGATACGCTTCGAGTCATACTAATAAAATTGTTAGCTGCTGTGTACCGATGCGAGATACCATGAACAGAGCAGAAGGGTTGGGATAGGGTCAGACAGGTTGCTATTTTTCAACATGGACGTCCTTGTCACGGGACATTCAGAAAGCCATGCATGTAGGAGCGAATCATCATATGGGGAGGCTGGGAGAAAGGGAACTGAATGAAACCTTGAGCATACCTCCATTTCCTCGTAGGCGATGCGGCACGCCTCGCCGAAGCCAGCAATCAGTGGCGGTGCGAGAGTACCGCTTCGCAATCCTCTCTCCTGTCCGCCTCCGCTGATGATAGGGTCAAGTCTGACTCTGGGCCGGCGGCGGACGTAGCAAGCTCCAATGCCCTTGGGGCCGTAGATCTTGTGTGAGGAGATAGACATCAAGTCGATGTTCATCTTGTTGACGTCCATGGGGATCTTTCCAACAGCTTGTGCAGCGTCCGTGTGGAAGAATGTCTTCCTCTCGCGGCAAAGCTTTCCAATCGCCTCCAATGGCTGGATAACTCCGATTTCGTTGTTCACCGACATAATGCTGACGATAGCAGTATCCGGGCGAATTGCTGCAGCTAGCTCATCCATGTCGATCAAGCCAGAGTTCTTGACCGGGAGGTATGTGACTTCGAAGCCCTCATCCTGGAGATGTCGGCAGCTGTCGAGAACGCACTTGTGCTCCGTTTGCGAAGTGACAATGTGCTTCTTCTTTCCAGATCTGCCAAAGAACCTTGCCACTCCCTTAATGCTCATGTTGTTGCTCTCGGTGGCACCACTTGTGAAAATGATTTCCTTGGGATCCGCACCGATAAGCTTCGCAATATGGCCTCGAGCCTCCTCGACGGCTTCCTCACTTTCCCATCCGTATGCGTGTGTTCTCGAATGTGGGTTTCCGTAGATACCAGTCATGTACGGTAACATGGCATCGAGGACGCGAGGGTCGACGGGAGTCGTGGCTTGCATGTCGAGATAGATGGGCCGCTGGCCCTCCTCCATTGTAGTGACTTGCTTCAGGACCTCAGCCATGGGGCTAACCATGACATTTGAGGCATCAGGAGACTGAGGGACAACATCGATGAAGTCCTTCTTGTCAAGCTTGATGGCCGTTTCGATGTTAACCTGTGCATTATCCCGTTTCGTTTCCGAGACGTATCTGCGCTGCTGAGATAATCTGTGGGTTGGCGCAACCGCCACCCTTGATAATGAGGAAATGCCTCGTGAGGGAACACCCGGCACCTGCGTATAGCGGCAAAGGCGACCAGCCTGCCTGAAGGCGGATGATGTGATGCTAGCCATGATGTGTTTGATGTTGATGGCGTAGGGAAGAAGAGGGACGCGAGCTTCAGGGAGAGGAAAAAGGAAAAGAGAAATTCTAGAAAGAGGAGAAGCTACCCTACTCAGTATGGGGATAGTTTTTTTTCGTGACAAATTGCATCGGAGACCGCCTCGGGGTCGGGGATAAACACACGGGCCGTGATTGGCCAGATCTGTTGGGATGACGTTCCCTATTCAGCTGCAGTCCTTTTTGGGAGGCGGTTTCGGCTACGGCACCTGTCAGGACCGACACCCCCGAAAAAGCAGCAGCCCAAGACTGGGCCGCGCCTCGTAAGGTCAAGAAGCACAGGCGGGCGCGGTAGGGAAGCCGAAGGTTGTAAAGGGACGGTCCCTACCTGGACCTTACCGGTACCTTCCCATGCCATACAAGTAATGTGCCTTACCTAACATGCCCTTACTCAAGGATGATTAGCTAAACAAAACGTAAACGGGCAGGCCTCCCAGGACTTGGACAAAGTGAATTGGGTCTTTGCTGAAATGCTGAATGCGGCCGGACTGGGGACGAGGATCTTTGCAGAGACGGGCTCTCGGAGTCGCCCTGCTCTTCCACCGCTTTCGCCGCGACCGAGCAACTGTATGCCACTTGCCTTTCTTCCTTTTGCATTGTTCAATTTCCCAAACCGAAGCTCCGAATATCCTCAAGTCCATCCCCTTACTTCCCTCCAACCCTTTTCTGAAATTCTTTTTCTCATCCACAAATCGCAGCGTCATCACCGCGAAACATCGGTTTCTCACCTCGCAGTGCTCCGTTCTTCCCGTTGACCCCGCCAGGCACCTACTTTAGGTACCTTAGCTTCTGCATAGTAGCGCCTTAGCTCCTGTCTTTCGGCACCTCATGCGCCACAGCCAAGCGACACTGCGCAGAAGCTGACTGACACAGCCACGCCTACGTCGTCACCAGCGACAATCAGGTTGCGAGAGCCCACACCTCATAAGGTTGGACGTCGAATACCCTCAACTTTCAAGCAGCGACGACCCTCGTCAAAACTTTCAGCCTACGATACCACCTTCTCGACCCTTTATTGGCACGAACTTTTTCGAATACCTAATCCGATACATCACCACCACAAAATCACCCCGCCATGAGCTTCCGGGGCTTCCAGAAAAGCGTCATTCGGGTACGTGTGTCCACTTAATGAGGGGTCCTCCCGTCCCTTCCGCGTGGTGACGTGAAGACGGAACACAAAATCTGGCTGACTATTGATCTCCTTTTCTCCACGACAAACAGGCGCCCCAGCAATTCAAGTCGCGCTTCAATATCGGCGAGCACACAAAGGATGCCGTCTACATCGATTCCGAGCGCAGATTTCAAGAGCTGGAAACCGAAACGAAGCGATTGCACGATGAGTCCAAGAAATACTTCGACGCCATCAACGGCATGCTCAGCCATCAGATCGAATTCAGCAAGGCCATGACCGAAATCTACAAACCCATTTCCGGTCGCATGTCGGATCCCGACAGTTTGGAGGTTCGCGGCAACCCCGAGGGTATCCGTGCCTGCGAAGAGTACGAGGCCGTCGTCAAGGATTTGCAGGAGACTCTTGCGCCAGAGTTGGAGATGATAGAAAGTAGGGTTATTCGCCCAGCCAACGAACTCCTCGATGTCGTCAAGGTCATTCGCAAGTCAGCAGCGAAGCGCGAACATAAGAAGCTCGATTACGACCGACACAGGCAAACCCTGAAGAAGCTGCAAGACAAGAAGGACCGGAATGCCAAGGATGAAAAGGCTCTGTGGAAAGCGGAGAACGACGTGGAGCAGGCGACTCAGGAGTTCAACTACTTCAACGATCTTCTCAAGGAGGAACTGCCACGCCTGTTTGCGCTCGAGCAACAATTCATCCAGCCCCTCTTCCAGTCCTTCTACTACATGCAACTCAACATCTTCTACACGTTGCACGAGAAGATGCAACACTGCGACATTGGCTACTTCGACCTAACGCTCGACGTACTTGAGGCATTCCACAAGAAGCGAGGTGATATTCAAGAGCAGGCGGAGAAGCTATCCATTGTGAAGTTCAAGACGACTGGTCAGAGACGTCCGGTAAAATACGGCGGCCGTCCCGCAATCGAGGGCAAGCCTCAACACCTGCTTACTGCTGGACCTTCTTCCTCTTCAGCTGCCTCAACAACCTCAGCAGCGCCCACAAAGTACGGTGGCTACACCAAGCAAGGAGAAGCTGCTGACGCGAACCCGCCGCCTCCATACTCTCCGCCGCCCACGAACGGAACTTCTGGTGGAGGACTCGCCGCTATTGCCGCAGCAAAGTCAAAGCCTCCTCCTCCCAAGCCCAAACCCAGCCGACTCAGCGGAGCGCCCGCGGCGGAGCATGTCACCGCCTTGTACGACTACGCTGCACAAGCTGAGGGCGACCTGAGCTTCAGGACGGGCGATGTTATCGAGATCATCAGCAGAACAAAGAACGAGAATGAATGGTGGCAAGGTAGATTGAACGGAAAGACTGGGCAATTCCCAGGTGAGTTTTCGACGCCAGCCAGCACAAACTTAAATAGAGACAAAGACTGACTTTCTTTGCGCAGGGAATTACGTGAAACTGAATTGAGCGGGAGCGTCTGATTAATAAAGACTCTCATCCCACCAATAACGATCAACACCCGTGATCTTCACTCGAATACACTGTGCCGCAGAGGCACATTAATGAACAACTGCTAGGGCATCGAAAGGGAAGCGCGAAACACTTGCATTTGGGATCTTCGGCGTACGCAGAAGGGACTGCCCCATCATTTCGAGTCAGAAAACACTTGGGAGAGGAGCGAAGGCAAATGGAGAGACATTGAGGGAAACTTGGATGTAGGGGAAGGGAGGAGGGGTGGGAGAAAGGCCGAGGAGAGACGTCGCTTTGCTTTTACCCTGGGAGAAGTGTCCATGTGACACACGAGTCTGTTGGTCGCCTCACTTTTATTTCTCCAGGTTTTCGGTGTAGAGAGACCGGCATCGGAGGCCATGGCATAGCAAAGGAGGACCTTCTGATCCCATACCTACTACGCCTTTTTCTAACGATTCTGCAATTGTTGTGTTGTCACAAATCACAAGGACTTTCGTGATTCTGCGAGCAACATCGGCGTGCTGTAAGTATTGCGTGACTCCACATGAGAGAGCTGCCCATTTGCTTTTTACTGGTTTGTATGGTTCCAAATGTCTCGTATCAGATGTGCGGGAAGGCTGGGGGGATCCGACAAATGAGGCTCACTCTCCTCTTGGTATTTCACCCCCTTTTCTTTGAGCTTCGATAAACATGTTTGCTTGCGGCTCAGCCTGCCTATAGCTTCATGTATGGTCCCGGCCGGCGGTGGTGTGAATAGCAAGTCTTTGAAGATTGAACAGTCCAGCTATGATCCAGGGCGCGCCCTTTCGCATTGTAATTTCAATTTGACAAACAGGAACCCTTTCGAAATCGGCAAGGTGCATAAACAGCACTGGGATATATGCAGGTTATTGAGGTCTGGTTGAATTGTATTTACGTATGCATCCATAGTCTGCCGGCCAGCGTGACCTCTTCGTTCCCCAGAAGTCCTGAACCCAAGCCCGTTGACCCCTGACTCTGAGGGTACCATTGCGTTTTTAGCTGGTCATTACGCCAGTCTCGGGGCTTGTGACATGCAGCTCGGCCCTATCCACCCTTATATTTTGGTTTGTCAAAGTGCAGATTCGACGTGGGACAACGATGTGAGGCTCCTTGGGCGAGGCGAGCAGACTATCGACGGGTTCTGCTCCCATTCGGTCTGCCAGTAGTGACAACTCTGTCTCTGTCTCGTCAATCGGCGGGGAAGAACTTGGAAGGTAGGCTAGCTGTCGCTTTCTCATGGGAAAAGGTTGAGGAGTAAGATCCCAGAAGGAATATCAGCTCCCATGGGAATATCGTCCAACAGGAGATCAGCTTCTACTCCAGTCCTACACGCCAGGGGTCGGGTTGTCACCTGTCTCGCTGGTTAACTGACGCAACTCAAAGTAACAAATGTAAGATACGGAGCAATTAATGAAGATAGATTTCAGAACGGGGGTCGGGCTAGCTCGCTTATCCCCTTGGTAGAAACCGGGGTACTCCGTAGGCATCTATACACTAGAGTCCCCATCGTGCGAACCACATCCGCCCTTCCTGAGCGGGGTGAGCCAGGGCTTTCAGAGCAGAAAACAAGGCAACCGACATCCATCCCCCTGTCCAAATACAAAAGCAAAGAATCCAGGCGGACGCTACTGTGAAGCTCGAGGGGGCAGCCTGCAGTAACTAACGATAGGAGAGGGCGTAGGTGCAGTTGTCATCGGCCGAAGACCTCCGTCCCACAACTTTTTGCATCTTTGAATGGCGCAAAATGCAAAGGTTTTTTTTATGGGATCGTCATCTTGGTAACCCTGTTGAAAAAGTACCAGCATGAGATCGTGCCGGTGAGGGATGCTTGCAAGACGTCTAGAACGTTTGATAGAGCTGCCCGCGGCAGGCTCTCATCAGCAACACCGGCACGGAACCGAGTGATCCTTGCAAAACGCAAAGTTGAAACCAACAGGATTCCCAAGAGCAGATATGGTTTGTAAGTATGCGGCCGAGGCTCTTTTCATCCAGGATGGCGCGTCTGGTCTGCTGATGCCCGTCTGCACGTTGGCAGATGTTTGTGACGGGTCAGGAATGGACCCTTCACTAAAGGAAGCGTTTCTCGAACCAGGAGCAGACACCGGCAGGGACTGCGGCGTAGGATAGGGCTCCGGATCTCTCGCATTGTCGCATTCTGTCGTTTTGTGGTTGCAAGGTGGTCTTGTTGGGCCGCCAGGCCACCGAGCGAGTCCGGTAAGCTTAATGGAAGGGTCAAAACAGATGAAGACCAAAGGCCGTCTGGTTTGAGATCCCCTTTGCCCAATGGCGTATACCAAAGAGCGCTCATCCATTACCCCCGAGATGTTACCGAATGTACTCTGGCCTTTGGGGCAGAGTATGTTATCCAATGCGTCAAGATGCACATTTCGTTGGCTCACGTCGACCTCTGGTGGCCACGATGAGATCTCGTTAGGCCAATGGGTCTGGTGGGAGACCTGAGCAGAATTGTCAGCTGGTGACTCCTTCGGAACCCGGCCGATTCCGCTCTGGGGGAAACGAGAAATTGAACGTATTTGCGGTCTTTGCGTCATCGCTTCGGTGGCGACTGGATCATTTACCAGGTCAACGAATGATCCGCAAGCCTGATTATAAGAACGTATAAAACAGTGGCTCAGGGTTATAGTCGGCAATGTTGAGCCGTCATCGCCCCTGTGAGCGTAGGTTGTGTCCTCTTTCTTCTCCAATGAGACTAGCTTAGTAGATGAGCAGCGCGGGGTTGATATATATGCGTTTTGGTGTGTGTCAGCTTCGGTATCTCTGTCACCAGGGTCAACGGGAGGAGCCGCAAAAACGAGTTCCTTTCTGTAGGCTGTTCTCGCGCTGGAAGATTCGTTGACAAGCCATTCTCTTCGGCATTCTGACACCATAATATTTCCCGTGACCAAGTCTTTCGCGAGCTGCAAAGTACTCCATCGATCATCTATCGGCCCGTCTTTGTGATCTCGTCTCAGCATAGATTCTTTCGACGCCAGCTGCATGTCTCCAGGCTGGGTACTGCCGACAGGCAACCGAAAGCCGTAATAATATGAAAGCGAATCTGTTTCGTATACTTCGAAACTGTTCAGGCTGGACAAGCCATAGAAATAGCCATCGATGATTTCAAAACAAACGGTGGCTCCGATGTCTGAACCAGCTAGGTCTTCGAGATCCAAGTGACCAGGTATCCATTGCTTGGTCCGTAGATCAAATCTTCGTAAGACCCATCGTTTGAAGCCATCATCCCCAGTAACCGAGTGAGTGCCGTAGTAGAGGTAGTCTTGGTTGTTACGTACAAATAGCTTGGAGGTCGAATCGAGGCGCTGGGCTGTGAGAAGCGCCCTCTTCTCCACGTTGATGACAACGAGGCGACTTCGGCCTTCGGTCTTGGGTGGGCTGTAGAGACAAGACAATACTCCATGGGCGAAGTGTATTGGACGGAACTTGTACTTGTTGTTGGTGAGATTCGCCCCCGGGACGTTTTGGAGCAGCATTCGAGTATCGATGATGTCCTCTGAGTCCGATGAGGCATGCAAGTTGAGGAGACGCAGCACCTCGTAACTTTCCGTATAACAAAGCATGCCATTGCAATAGATGAAGTCAACTGCATGAGCGACCAGAGCTGTGGTGTATGGCTTGGCAGTGGCGATAGCGTCCCGAAGCTTGACCAGCCGCCGCAAACAACGAGCATATTGCTTAGAGGAGCGGGTGGCTAGGAAATCAGCTGAGTACGGCGCATGAGTCTAAGCCACTAAGTCAGCGCAGCACAACGTGGACACTGTTGTTGAGGCGATGCTCACCTCCAATGCGGCCCGGCAAATATCATTATTGTCCACGAGATACTTGAACTGCTGGCAAACGAGGCTCAAGTTGAATATGTCATGTAGGTTTAAAGAATTTGCGATATAAGTCATAATCTCGATAGGCAGCCTTTGCATCCTTGCAAAGTCGACAGCTGCCATGAACCCGTCCCTCGACCATTCGGTTGGGAAGCTAAGAAAGGATGAAGGAACAAGCGTTCAAAAGACTTTGGACACGCTGTGAAGGTTGTATGTAGCTCGAAGGAGGGGTGGCCGGGGTTCGGAACTTCCTTCGCAGGAAACTAGAAGTCACATGTACCTCAAGGCAATTGATTGACGAGGCGGCCGCTTTTCATGCAGGTCGAACCTGCCTTCAAAGGGGACGACCGTAGCCCTTTTTAAGATGAGCGGTAGAGCCTTGTGTCCCCTCATCTCAATACCGGATGGAGGTGGCAGCACTTGAGCCTCATCTACATTACGTAGAACCCTTCGAGCCCAGATCCCAGCCACGAGTCGCTGAGAGGGGAACACTGCCCCTTCATTTCCGACATCAATATCTCAAGTCAAAACATTCTCATTCTTGGGCCTGTACTGGGGGCAACATCAGCCGCAGCCTGCGTCAGTGACCGGCGGGGTACCGGAAGGGCGTGTCTTCCAAATACTTCGGTCAGTAGTATGACATTGCCTGCTTAAGACAAGGGCCATTCAACATTGCCTGATAAATTTGGAGCATGTAAAGGGCTCAGCAAGCTGAAGTGGTTTAGAGCTTCTGAGAGAGGGGGACCAACGAGGTGTGGGACAAGGCTGCACAAAGGCACCCAAGTTCACTTGCCCGGCCGTTTGGCCAGCAATCAGAAAAGGTAGGAGCACTCCATTACTCGTCTCGCAGCCCGGCAAGCGAAAGATGAGGCTCTGTTCCACCTAAGATGCTGGCAAGGATCGGAGATGCGCTAATACGTGGGCACCGAAAAGAGGTAGCTTGTGCTTTCTCAAAGAACCCTGGTCCCTGCAAGAAACCAACTCAAAGGAAATGCTATATGATTGGTTGAATCGTTCATTCGCCCCCATGCGGAGCCTCATCCCATTCCGGGCCTCCTCTCCAATTTGCACCCAATGCTTTCCGCTTTCCGGTTAAACTTCCTCTTCCTGATTACGGTGCCATGCCTGTTCATATTGAGCGAGACGAACTTATTCCAGTGGATGGACTTCTCGACTACTACTAGTGCGGCTCTGCAACTCTGCGGCTCTAGGCCAACACATGGCCGGATTTTCACTTAACACTCCCTGGAAGCATCGTCACTGTCTCACGAGGTGTCATCCTAGTGAACTTGGATCTAGCAGTTTCCGTCATCTGCGTACACCCCTCACGTGGAGTTTGTCCTTAGTATCATCAGCTTGTCCTAATTTCTAATGGGATATCTGACTGCGCTACGTTCCTATTGGCGTGCCTTGTTCATCATCCTTCGAAGATCATCGTCATGCCAAACAGTCCCACCAGGTTAGCTTCGGCAGCATGGGAACTTTCCAAATTAATCACAATCTACGCCCGTCACTCGTAAGCATGTGCCGAAAGAAACCCTGCTCATCGTCGAACTGGAGCCTCAGCTTGCTCAGTTCAGTAAACATGAGGCTAGCATGGCTTGGCTGATTTGATTCGAACATCAGTCGGGCTCATCAACTAGCGCAACTGTGTCAGATGTGGTAACCTACATCACGATCTGCTTCCTACAACGCCCGAGCCTTGAGTGCATCAACATAGCTGAAGTACCAATAGCGGGCATAATTTCGGGCTACGGTCGACTGGGACAAAGTATGTGTCAATGCCTTATTCGCCGGGCATCGTAACACCGATTGGCGTCACCTAGTGATGCCTCATTCCAGTGAGGTCTCGTATCGTAGGATGGTAGCGCCAGCTCCTTCTGCACTGGTCACGTTTCACTGTCGGGTACCTTGTGCTCTCCCTATAACGGATTTCCACGCAACAGAAGTGCAAAATCCAGCAAAAGCTTGGATGCCCTACGCGGCATGATACAAGGTCTCCGTTGATGCCCAAGATTTGGGCGCTGACTTGGGCTCAACCACACCGGCCCCTCGATTCTATGACCGGAGGCTTAAAAGTTCGACGTGATGGCTGGATGTTCGAGTCTTTCGGCGTCTGTGTGGAAGACGCCAACTTCGGGGTATCCAATATCTTTCGTTTTGAGGCCTTCCTGTCTTTCTCATCGAATATTGTCCTTTTGAAGACTGAGAAAAGGAAAAAGGGCCGCCAGCCCAAGCTCCAAGCGTGTCACACATCCTCGTCTCTCTGTCTCTCCCCACCCTCTCTCCCCCTCAATCTCTCAATCTCTCAATCTCGGATCATCTCCATCCTGAAGTTGGTTAGAAACCCAAAGGAGTGCATGTATTACTGCAAATGTCACGCAACACAACTCTGGAGAACAGTACAGAAAGAGCGAGTCTTTGTACAAATAACAGCCCATATGTAAGTGTTCTATATCAAGTCCCTCACATCACCAGGAGAGATTCTTGCTATGTGTAGCAGTTCCCAATGAGAAATTTCTGACCCATTGGTAGAAACTTGGACGGTGCTTCGCCGAATTTCCGACAGACCGACAGCCTTGTAGTTCGATGAGGTCGAAATGGACGGTGCCTCGGCCAATATCTTCAGCATTCCGTGTACTACATTGCTCCCTGCGCTTCCTGGGGCCGGAGCTATGTGTATTCCACGCCGGGAGTTTGTCCGGCGTACCCCGTTATCTGACTACCTTAGCGCTTACTGACTTGGGTTTTGGTACTTTGGTGCCGTTGCCTTCTTAGATATTCAGGCTTATTAGGGCATTGTTGATCCTTGGCCCACTTCATGCATGATATGGTAAGCATCTTTCGTTATGTCATCTTCAAATAGCTCAATAGACTGTTTGCTTAGATACGTCAAACAGGAAGTACACACTTTGGCTCATGATCACCCGCCTCGTCTTTGTAATTATTGGGCTTGACAAGCTTGTTCCTACAGCCTTTTATAATTCTGCGGACACGAAGACCACCTCCCGTTCATGATTATGTTCACTGCTGGTTAAATAGTAGTGGGCGGTATAGAGCCCTTGTCCCAAAAGTTCCAAAACACATTTACCTCTTTTTCACCGTTCGATAGTATGCAATGGGAGAGCCTGCTACTGTGCGGGATGGTATTCCGCACGGCCATTTGAGAGCATAAAAGCAGCATGCTGCCGAATGCGAATTAGCTAGGTAGGATCTCCAATCCTGGTTTGCGACTTTCCTCTTTCATGTTTTAACCCTTTCCAAGACACACAATTCTGCAGTTTTTCCCTTGAAATTCAACGGCCATGAGTCTCACAGAAGGAATTGACCTGTGGTCCCCTTTTACTAGCGACACTCTGCTGGAGGTTCGCACCAGCGTGATGAAGAAGATGCCCGGACTAGAGGTCACGTCCGGAATCGACAAGGATTTGAGGCATGGTCCCATTCACGTATCATATCTCGGACTCGATGCGGATGAGCATGATCCAACTTTCCATGGTGGACCGGATAAGGCGATACACGGTTGTGAGTACATCATGATGCTGGCTCAGGCGTTCTGCCATCATGACGCAGTTCTGAAAGTTTAGTCCAGATTGCTCCTCTCACTATTCTGGTTGGAAGGCAGAGCATCCAATTGCAGCGGAAAGATTCAGACCGGGAGCTTTCGGCGAAAACTTTGTCACCAGACACATGAATGAGCGCAACGTTTGCATTGGCGATGTCATCGCCGTTGGTGACGAAGTCGTGCTCCAAGTCAGTTTGCCACGACAACCATGTTACAAGCTCAATCATCGTTTCCAGTTAAAGAACTTTGCGCCTACGACGTTCAAGTCTAGTAGGACTGGCTGGTATTATCGTGTTCTGAAAGAGGGAACAGTCAAGGCTGGCGACGAAATCAGGCTCGTCGAGCGCAAATGGCCCAAGTGGACCATTGAGAGGGTTCAGGAGTACTTGCACCGGAACCAGACTGATGCGGCTATGAATGAGGAGCTTGCATCAATTGAAGACATGGGCAAAGAAAGTCGTGGCGCATTCCAGCGACGAGTGGCCAAGGCTAAAGCTCAAGTCAAGAGGGAAAAGGGGGACCAGTGGAGAGACTTCAAGATTATCGAAAAGACAAGAGAAACCCCGAGAATCTCATCGTTTGTCCTCGAAGCCGTCAACCCGATCGAGAACCCAGAATATCTCAACGAAGGGGCTCACGCAAAGCTCAAGCTGCCGAATGGCCTCCTTCGATCTTACTCCGTCATCTCTGGGGACCGCAACAAGTTCGAGCTCGGCATTGCTCTCGAGGATAAGGGCCGTGGAGGATCCCTCTACATCCACAACTCTATGTCTGCAGGCGACATCCTTCAGGTTGGGCGAATGACAACCGACGTAAAAGTTGCCAGCGCCTCAAGCAATCACGTCTTCATTGTTGGAGGTATCGGTATTACCGCCTTTTTGGTCCTTGCCGAGGCCTACCACGAAGTCCACTACAATTTCGAGATGCACTACGCCGTTCGCTCGGACGACGATATACCGTTTCGTTCTCGCTTGTATGCTCTTGGGAGTAGTGTCCGATTTTACGACCGTAGTAAAGGCGAGAGGATGGATATCGCCGAGATCATCAGGACGCTCAAGTGGAACAGCCACGTCTACGTTTGCGGACCTACGCGAATGACCGATGCTGTAAGAGTAGCCGCAGAGGAGTGTGGTCTCGATGAGGGCGATGTACATTACGAAGCCTTCTCTGCTGATACATCGGGAGACCCATTTGAGGCAGAGGTTCTGAATCGAGGCGGCAAGGTCCTGAAGGTGGGTGAGGAGGAGACGCTGCTGGAAGTACTTAAGCGGGAGATCGGGGGCGATGTGGAGAGTAGCTGCGAAGTTGGTAACTGTGGAACTTGCAAAGTTGCGCTCAAGAGCGGTCGAGTCGATCACAGAGGCACAGCTCTATCTGGCGACGACAAACTTGAGTCAATGCTGAGTTGCGTGAGTCGTGGTATTGGAAGAATAGCCATCGAGATTTGATGGGACACCAGTCTTAACACGCCTTCTGCTAGGTGACTACAATATGTTCAACTTCACTTTGATTTCACATCGTATTTGATACCAAAATAGAGAGTGTTAGAGCTAGAGCGTTGTGTACCACTGTACTCCAACTGCGTCGAGAGTGCAACAGAAACAACCTTTGTACCTTAACTAGGTAAGGTAAGTAAAACGGAGAGAGATCGCCCACCTCACCGAGCTCGGTGTCGACCGCCCTTACCGTTGATAAGAGTGGTGGGGTATAGAGCACGGGCCATATGGCTGAATCAGGCCAATGATGGTAGCTTCTGATAAGAATGAGAGACCCACCTTGACTTTTTTCTCAGGCTTCGATGTGACAAGAATTCTGGCTGCTCACTCTTACTTCCATAGGACGACAACATTTCTTCGCGTTGAGCCGATCCCCCGCCAATATGTCAACCGCCGAGTCCCAAGGGGATGGTTTCCTTCTCTTGCCAGTGAAGCTCCCGGCACTTCCCTCGTGCCCCATCACCGCTCTTCACGAGATCCGCGTTCGACGAAATGCGCCCAGGATCCCGACCGAGATCGATGATCGAAGTCTCTTTCTCAAGAATGTCCCCGTGGACAGCACCGAAGCTCATTTTCGCCAAGTTTTCTCCGCTCTCGTCGGTCCAGGTCGCTTCGAAAGCGTTGCATTCGAGGATGATCGGAAGAGTGCCGCAGCTGTCGACCCAGTCAACGCTGCGAAGATTATGGGTCTAGGCAAGAAGCGCAAGCGCGGCGAACAGGAAGCAGAGGAGAGAGCCCGGGAGGAAGAAATCGCACGACTGCCCGAGACTTGGACAAGAAGGCTACGAAAAAGCGGTAGCAGCGCCATTGCTCTCTTCGCAGATGAAAAGAGCGTCGAGCTCGTGCTCAAGGCCATCAGGAAGGCGAACAAGACGACAAAATTTCCCGTCTGGGGACAGGGTGTTTCCGAGGATGAGCCCGAGCTTGGATCCGAATGGGTATCTGCACACATTCAGCTGTCGCGCTGTGACAAGGCGGCAACGCAGAAGTCGGTTCACGCCTTCTTCAACGTTTTCAATCGCAAGGAGAAGGAAGCGGCAGAGATGGCCAAGAGGTTGCGCAATGAGCCAGACGAGGACGGCTTCGTCACAGTTGTCCGCGGTGGACGTGTTGCTCCGGCCAACAAGAACGAGGCCGAAGAAGCCCGACAGAAGATGATCGACAGGGCCTCGAAGAAGAAGGACGAGACTACGGACTTCTACCGCTTCCAACTGCGCGAGCGTCGCAAGGCGGAACAAGCCGCTATGCTGAAGAGATTCGACGAGGACAAGAAGAAGGTCGATGCCATGAAGGAGAAGCGTGGCAAGTTCAGGCCGGAAACATGAATCTACAGATGACGTTTCCAACACATTACACAAGATACCCATGTAAAAAATATCAACTTCAGCGTAAGTGGTCTCTCCTCTTTCTCAGTGTACTCCGCTTTACATGATGACGCACGCGGGGCCAGCGAAGCACCTGTAGGCGAAGGGCTTGTCCCAGAGCCAGTGGTGCAGTGCCGACAAACACCGCGTTATATATATCTTCTCAACTTTGTCTGACATTTCGATCGGGGCTTTCTTCTTTTGCGATTAACGATAACGCTTGGAAAAAACAAAGACTCACGCAATGCTAGACCACCAGATTTAGAGAGCAAACAGGCTGGCTCTTACGACAGCAAGAGACCTGTTGTTCGAGTCATAGAATCACGTTTGCGGAAACAGGACCACTTCCGCCGAAGAGACTTGCCGTACACCTCCACGCCCTTTTGCCCAGGAGTGAGGGAGGTCGAGTGGGTGAAATGAGGAAACTCGTGCCGAGTCGAGTCGCAAAATAGAACCGCCGCGGCACAGGCGATCACGGATTGGTCTGATACTCGCGACCGCCACGCCGCTCAGCGTCCTCGGTAGAAAAAAATACAAAGCCACGTGTGCGGCAAGTCGATGTCTCCCAGTCGTGGCCTTCTCTCCCAACACAATTCCCGCAATCCTGGATTGAGCAACGCGATGTTTTCAGGTTCTGGACCAGTGGACGCCTATTGTTTAATCAAACGCTCCTCTGTGCAGCGCGTGGCGTCAATGTTCTTTTCGACACTACTCCCTTTCAGGTGTTGATTGTATTTTACTTGCTGCCCCTGTGCCTCTCTACTTTTTCCACCTTGTCTGGGTTCCAGTTCCGCCACGATGTTTTAGCGCTAGAGCCGGGGTATCATACTTCTCAACTGGTTCTAGTGGAAGAGTACTGGATGCGCCAGTGTTGGGCTACCACATGGCTGGTTCTCATGAATCGCGACGAGCGGGTGAAGTAGAAGAGAAAATTTATTTCTTCGGGTGTCACCAAAGTTCCACGGTTCCAACATGTACAATGTCCACCGCTCTCTCACAGCTGCTCTCCGGTGACTTGCAAAAAGATCCATTTTATGCGTATCTGCCTACTCTGTGCCGCACGTCGACGTCTAATTCATGGAAAGATCCTGGCACGATGCGGGTTTACGGTTATCGTCGCCGGATTCACCTCACCAACAAGGGCTTAAATGATGCTTAGTTGCTTACTGCCTCGGCGTCTGTATCCGATTCGGCATAGGCCAAAGTAGGAAGAGAAGCCCCGCAACACCCACGAATTCATCATGGGGTCACTCTGAGCCCTTTTCCCGTGGTGTTTATGACTTCCACATACCCACTCCTGAGCGCTGAGGCCCTGCCAAGCATTGCCATACTCGCGCACCGATGCTTGTCGTCTTCAGCTACATCCGAGAATAGCATCGTAGTTGAGAATGGCATTTCCATCTTCGCCTGAAGTCTCTAGCGTGGGAAACAGAATCCTGCCGCTCGTCACACGGACTTTGACGCGATGGGCCGCGATTGCCAACTAAAGGATTCATGACATGCGAGAACCATGTAAGATTGAGCAAACGACTCAGGATCCGGTAGGTTGTTGAGGATTCATACCGCGCCGCAGTCTACTCTTATGAGCATAATGCACGGTACTTTGCGAATTTGAGGAACCCTTGTTTTCTCTCAGGATCGTGTGTGTGCGTACCTGCAGCTTATTCCCACCCACATTGTGCGTAAACCGAAAGAGCGGCTGCATCAAGTCGAGGGGAGGGGATAACCCAATTAGCCGCAAAAGCCACCAAGTCCAGCCGCACCTGGCTCCTCGTGGTAACAATAGTCGCCAACCAACATCCCCTTTGAGTTAGTCCATCGGCCGATACAAGTCGAGAGCCCAACACCACAGCCGCATCGCTCGACGCCCCCGTGGCACCCATCGTGGGATCCCCCCAATCACTGTCAATCTTTCCCATTTCTGTAATTTCCTGGGCCCCTTTTCCGCACCTGATTTGGCGTAGGCAGGGTCGACTCTCCGGCTGGTGCCCGGACCTCACGATGCTTGGCTTCGGCAGCCATCATGGGAGTCGTGCATACGAAGACGACTTCCTTTGCAAACCTCCTTACCCTTCCGGGACATACAGACAGCAATGGCGAATAGTCCAGCACGACCAGACAGGCCGTCTTAGACTCTGTTCAGCGGGCCCTAAAGGAGGATATTTCCAAGATGAGAACCTCGCTTAGCCCTTCAAGGACGTCTAGCCCGCGGTGCCGCTGTGCCTCTGGTCATGTAAGTGGCCTGCGAACCAGCGGCGCGGGACAGATGCTCGAGCATTCAACGTGATGGCAGGACATCTTAAGCGGCACCTCGTCCGCCTAGAATGGGCCTTGTCCCGTTCACCTCACGCACCACTTCCGCCAACAGCCGTGTCGTCCAGCATCTCCTAGAGCACTCTTGCTCGTCCAACGACGTATCTCACGTCAAGCCATTCGTTATTCTCTATACAGCCTAACAAAGTCTCTCTTTGGATAATCATAATACAGCCATAATGGCACCTTCACTCTTTACCCTAGGCACGGCTGCCCTGGCCTTGGCTGGTGACGCTGTCGCCAAGCAGTTCGTCCTCGATGACACATACGACTCCACGAACTTCTTCGACAAGTTTGACTTTTTCGAGAGCAAGTACGGCACGGGAGATTATAATGACGTCGATCTCACTTCGGGCTACATCAACTATCGCACCCGTGTCGATGCCCAGAAGCTGGGCCTCATCAGCAATGCCGATGGCGAGGTCTACGTGGGTCCTGATGCCCACAACATCACCGAGTTCCCCGGCGTTGGCCGTTCAAGTGTGAGACTCGAGAGCAAGGCAATTTACAACAAGTCTCTCATGGTCGCCCGCTTTTCTCATCTTCCTAAACCTGTCTGCGGTGCCTGGCCTGCTTTGTAAGTTCTCTATCTCAGAGTGAACATCCAGTTCTCCCTATATTAACATCATTGAAGTTGGTCCTACGGTTCTCCATGGCCTAAGAAGGGCGAACTTGACTTTTTTGAGGGCTGGAACAACGCGGTAAGGATATAGTCTGCATGTCTGCACTCCAAAAGCTTGCTAAACAATTACGATAGGCTGCCAACAAGCCTGCTGCCCACACCTACCTCACGTCCGAACAGGGCCAGTGTGTCATCAGTGAGACCGGGCAGACAGCCAAGGTCAACACAGCAAACTGTGATCAACTGGCTCCTGGACAATACACCAATGAGGGTTGTACTACTACAGCCACCTCTGCTGACCCTTGGGGCTCGTCCGATGGTGGTATCTGTAAGTGGATTAGCATATCAGTCTTGGGATGGTTTTAACTAATCCTTCGACATAGATGCTGTTGAGTGGACAGACGACTACATCAAGTTCTTTGGTAAGTAACCTCCAAGCCCTACTTTATAATGCGAACGTGTACACAACATGTAGCTAACATCGCACCCAGCCTGGACCCATTCCGCAGCTCCCAAGAACATTGGCTCCGACTCGCCCGATACCTCCTCTTGGGGAACTCCTTCCATGCTCATCGCCAATGACAAGTGCAACATCAACAGCCACTTTGCCGATCAGCGACTCGTTCTGAACATTGACTTCTGCGGTGTTCTCGCCGGCAATGAGTACATCTGGAAGGACCAGTGCGCCGCGTCCACTGGCCACTCTGTCTGCTCGTCCTATGTCGCGGCGAATCCCAGCGCCTATAAGGACACCTATTTCAAGATCAAGGACATTCGTGTGTTCAAGGAGGGCAGCATAGCAGTGACGACTTCTGCGTCCTCTACCTCGACATCTGCCACAACGTCGTCTGCTTCGACATCATCTGCCTCCACATCATCCGCCTCGACGTCTTCGGCTTCGACATCGTCTGCAGTCACGTCGACTACCATCTCCACATCGGCATCTGCTTCGGTGTCCGCGTCTGCTTCCGCCTCAACCTCAACGACCGCCTCAATCTCTGCTTCTGCTAGCGGCTCGGTCACGGCAAAGGACACGTCCATCAGTGCCTCTGACTCCAAGACCGCCTCTGCTTCTGGCACTGCCTCTGCTTCTGGCACTGCCTCTGCTTCTGGCACTGCCTCTGCTTCTGGCACCGCATCTGCTTCTGGCACTGCCTCTGCTTCTGGCACCGCCTCTGCTTCTGGCACTGCCTCTGCTTCTGGCACCGCATCTGCCTCCGGAACTGCCTCTGCCTCTGGTTCAGCCTCTGGTTCAGCCTCTGGTTCAGCCTCTGGTTCAGCCTCTGGTTCAGCCTCTGGTTCAGCCTCTGGATCTGGGTCTGCCTCTGTCTCCGGCTCCAAGTCTGCCTCCGCCTCTGTTACTCCCACTGGCCGAATTACCACAAGTGCCACTGGCACCAAGTCAGCTACCGCCAGCGCGTCCGGTTCCATCTCCATCAAGTCCAACAGCAAGTCCGGCGAGGATGTCTGCACCGAGAGCGACGCCATCAGCACCAAGACTGGCGTAACCAGCAAACAGACACAGGCGGCTGCGACAACAACTCCTCCCGTCGAGCTTACGACCTCGACAGTCTACACCACTAAGGTGTCTACAATCACCGCGTGCCCGCCCACCGTTACCAACTGCCCAGCCCACATCGGCAAGGTCACGACGCAGATCATAGCTCTGTACACTACCGTCTGCCCCGTCTCATCTGTCCCTGCTCCCAAGCCCACCGAGCCGGTCAAGGGCAACGACAAGTCCAACGACAAGCCCAATGATAAGCCCAACCCTGGCCCTGGCCCTGCCCCTGGCGTCTCGACTACCACCTTCACCACCGTCTACACCATCACCAAGTGCCCGCCGTCAGTCACAAACTGCCCCGTCGGTAGCGTCACCACCAAGATCGTCACAACATCGATTCCCTCCGCTGGCACCTCCGTGCCCATCGTGACAAAGGTCGTCCCCACGGCCGCCTCAGGCCCTAACTCCGCCCCCGGCCTGACCAAGACCCTCTCCACGGTCTCCCCATCCGGAGTCCCTCCCAAGCCCAGCGCCCCTGGTGGCAACAACTACGGCTCCGGCTCCGGCAACGGCACCATCCCCAAGCCTCCTACCGGCTTCAACGCCACCGTCCCGGTCACCAAGGCTACCACTCTCACTGCCTCCAAGCCCGCGGGGACGGCCCCCGGTGCATCAACAACTAGCTATTCTAGCGCCAGCTCCCCGACCAAACCGGCTGTCGTTGTCAATGCGGCCGTTCAGGCAGGTGCCAGCTTCCTGCTGATGGCTGTTGGTGCCCTTGCAGCCTTGGCTCTTTGAATGGCTACAACGCTTTAGTTCCTTTCGGCGATGTTGACGGTGTAGATGTTAGAACAATGTTTAATGTATACTGAGTTGCTTATAATTTGGTACAAAGAGATCGATGACAGCCATGCTCTTTCCTTTTGTTAGTACTAGTACATGATCGGCACATCAACGTAGACTTAGAGACATATAAACCTAGCTAGCTGCCTGGCTGCTTTGCAACTCTTCAATAACAAAGGCATCGAGCTTCATGATGTGCACCGAGGTTTCACCTACGAGAGGGTGATCCCCGAAGAACTTAACGTCGGTACCTCATGTTTAGCATGTGAGAGAGTCCCATGATTGAGCTGAGTGATGACTATTGTCATTGAGGAATTCCAATTTTTGTCTACTGGCTTTTTGACCTTCAAGGGCCTTTTTACTAATCTACATGAATGATGATGATGCGTGATACCCCCGTTCGCTTCCGTGAACCCCCCCCCAAACTGATTCCAGGGAACCGAGGAGTTCCCAAATAAGACAATTCCACGCACTATTTCACTGGGACCCTGCCTCTGTCCAACCGCCCACACATCTGAGGTAGTCTTTTTCTTCTTCATCATTATCAAGTGTCGTCCATTCTTGCCATCCCGCTCTCAATAGCAGCCTTCAAGCGACGAGCTAGCTGTGACGTAGTCTCTAGTCACAGGGGCGGAAGGCCTCGTGCCGTGGGTAGATGGACCCTATCTACCACCGCCCTTCTGCATCTTGGTGATTTCGGTCTGGTAACGGATCTTGAAGCCGTTGCACAGCGCTCTCATGTCAGGGTAGGCCTGCTTCAGTAACTCGAAGCCACCCGGAATAACACGAACAGGCCACGAGTTGACACGAGATCCACGACTCGCCTTGAAGCAAAGCCAGAAGTAGCCGGGATGCTTGGGGTCGATACAGAACGCATAAGCGGACCGGTTGGGATTGGCATCAATGTATGTGGTGAGCCATTTCTCTGTATTGCATGATCAGTCGTCGCTCATGTCAATGGTAAATCACGGAGGCACATACCAAGATCCGTCTTGGACCGCTTCTCGAACTTCTCATGCTGCATCATCTCATCCACCTTGCGAGACATAGCCTCGATGTGTTCGTGAATCAACTCATCCAGATCCTTGTAGGTGAACTTGCCACCAACCCTGAGAAGCTTGCCGACGGAAAACTCTGTCTCTTTTTGGAGCTCAAGCACGTCGACATGTTGGAAAACACCATCGGCGACCTTCCAGGTGATAGCCAGATGGTCGTTACCTTTTGAGGAAGGTCGAATGATGACCTCTCCGGCGGCTTGGGTACCAAGCCATTGCTCAGCTTCCAATCCGTTAAACGGCTTGAACAGCGGGTGCTTGATGACTCTCTGGGTGCGTCCGGTGGTCTTGTCCTTTTCGCGGAGTTCTTCCTTATCAGCTGCCTCCAGTCTCTCGTCCCACTGGCCATGGCCATGGTATAATTGACGCTTGTAAGGGCGTTTGACTTCGGCTTCTCTTGCAGAAAGCTTGGCCAAGAAGTCCTTGTAGTTTACCTCAAGAACCTTGGCTTGCACCGTCTGTCCGGTCGTGAGAAGACCTCTGACTCGAACACCATCAGGGCCGTCGTGCGACTCGATGCGGCCCTCTATGCCGCAGTCAAGCTTCACTATGGCGAAGTCATCTTTCACCACTCGGATGTTGACGGGGATGATCATGCCCTGGGCGAGTGTGTCCTTGGTCTCGCCAGTGAACATTGTGAAAATCTCGTTCGGACCGAGGCTTGAGAAGTTTCTGCGCAACTCCTCGTAGGGGGCTTGAAGTTCAGCCCGAATTGTCTCGAGCGTAGCGCGCTTCCGCTGGCTGTAATTGCGCTCAAGTTGCTCCGCATATTCCTCGAGGATAAGCTCATTGACCTTCTCTTGTTCGTCTTCCTTAAAGAGTTTTCGAACAATAGCACCGGGTCCATTGTGATCCGTCTCCGCTTTGACGTCCTCTTCATCAAGTTCAAGGGCGTCGGCTGCCATCTTGCGACCCAGCTCGTAGTCCTCTGGGTGGACACGGGTGTTGTCAAGGGGGTCTGAGGCGGGGTTGGTCGCATCGTAGTCGATGAAGAGGAAACTGGCGCAGTTGTTCCAGACTCTTGGGCCCACAACCGGCAGCTTGCCACTGTCGGGGTCGCCAACCAGCTCATCTCTGCTGCCGACAGCTCCTCCGTTCGCGTTGATGGCTTTGATGACGCTTGTAGCCTTTCGGGGACCAAGACCGGCGACATAGGGCAGGAGGTTTGCTGTGTAAGAATCGCCCACGGCCTCGTTGATGTTGACACCACAGAGATTGACCATGTCAACCATCGCGGACTCGAGGTGCTTGAGTAGCTTCTCTTGGGGTAGCAGGTTTTGACAAGGATGGAAAGCCAGCGATGCAATGTCTTTACCAAGAGCCGCATACTCCTTGAGAGGGTTTTGCATGTAGTGCGCCAAAGCGATGCAATATCTTGTGAGTGAACTGAGAGTAGGGTGCTCTGCGACTGCTCTAGGGCTGTCCTTGTAGAGACGAGCCACCTCGTCATTTACCACGATGACTTCTAGAGGCTCAGTGCGGTACTCCCCAAGCTCAGGGTCATCGAACTCAGGCCCCATCAAGCCCTTCTCGCTGATGAGACTTTCTAGGTCTCTCACAAGCTTCTGCGTATCTGCAGACCATCCGCTAATACCGATGGCATCCGGGCGGCGCCTGTTGACGATCTCCACAAATTCTTCGCGAGCTCGCTCGTCACGAGCTAGATTGCCCAGCTTTCCCTGCTCAATGACCCGGCCATCTTCCTCAACGGAAGCCCAGAGTGTAGGGTCGCGAGCTGGATCGGCCATTCCGTTGGAGAGAGTGATGATTCGGGGCAGTGTGCCAAGAATCATACCCTTGGGCTTGTATGGTGCTTGATCGAGCCTCTTTGAATATTCTTCTCGGCAGGCTTTGAGGACTTCTTCTTGGCATGCAGTCCGGAGAGACTCCTTGACGCCCTTGGCAATGATCTTAGAAAGCCGAGGAACAATGAGATCAAGTACCTTCTGACGTTCATCGTTCCATCGATCCGCGAGTTCACTGTAGTTGTCTGAAATGAACTCTTGGCGCAACGAGCGCTTGAAGCCCTCGTCGTTCTCTAATGTCAGCTTAACCTCGATGAGACCCTCTTCCTCGGCCTTCATCATCTTGAGGTACAGATCTGGCTGGCGAGCAACGTCGGCGATTGTCTGGTTGATGAGATACTTGACCTCGTAGAATGGATGTGACTCGTCAATCTTCTTCAATCCCTTCTCTGTCCGGCGACAGCTGATTTCGCCCATCTGGTAGAAGTTGACTCTAAAGTGCTTCCGCATACGAGGGTTGACAAACAGCTCCTCTGCGTACATCTGGCGAGCAGCGTACATCACAGTATCACCGGTTTGGAATTCTTCATCCGTGAGGGAGTCGGCGAGGTCGTCAGGAAGCTGGCTGTCGTCGTCGGCCCAGACCTTGTTGCCCTCGCGAAGAGTGTTTTGGGCGAACCGATCCGGAGTGATACCGTAGGCACGGACAAAACCAATAGCCTTGCTCCTCCTGACTCTGTCGACAAGATTTGATTTGGAGCCTGGGCGCTTCATCTGGTTGCCATTTCCGTTCATGAAAGACAAATCCTTGAGCTCGTTGGTGTACTGGAAGTGGAGGTAGTCCTGCAAATCTTGCAGTTCTTCCATGGTCGCAGCTTGGGGAATCATATCTTCGAGTACATCATCCTTGATGCTAGCAGCAGATTTAAGGTTCTCCAGCGTCTTTTCCAGAGCGTTCCGCTTTTCGATCAGTGAACGGAACTTGATATCAAGCTCCAAAATTCGCCATAAGTCGTCCTGAGTAAGAAGCTTGTCTGCGCTGACAATCCATTCAGGGGCGTCAGGGTCGTCGCGATGATCGGGATTTTTGGTCTTCTTGGCATGGATCAGGTAATCCTTGCGATGCTGAAAGACGTAGGGTACCTCAACGTCGTCAACGACAAAGAACTCGAGGACCTTGCCAATCGCCTTGGTGAAGGGTCCGTGTAGTTCGGACTGGAGCAGCTTTTTGGGCCACATCAAACCCGCAATCCACCGAGCCTCTTCCTTGAACTGCTCAGCGCTAATTTGCAAGTGCTTGAACGGTTTTCGGTCCAGCTGGAATCTTTCAGGCTCGTCCGTGAATCGAATCTGGTTGTCCTCGTCGGTCAAGAGCTTCTCCTTCAACTGTGAAGGCTCAAACACGTCCTTGAGCTCAATAACCTGCTCTTCGCGTTCGCGGTCTTCTTGCTCTTCTTCCATTTGGAGGGCCCACTCGTAATCCTCGCCATTACCGAAGATTGCCTCCATGTCCTCCAAGGCGTCTTTATCGAGGCCTGAGGTGTCGACGACGCCTCCAACTCCTCTGTCGCGGGGCCGGGCGACTTCGGCATCTTCTTGCTGACGCGCTCGTTCGTCCTCATCCTCCGGATAATCTTCCTCAATGAAGTCTTCGAACTCGTCAGCTTGGGGGCGGTAGTTCGATCGGCCGTAGGGTTTTTGGTCGTTGGCTTCCTCGTCGTCATCAGAGAACATGTCCTCTAAGCCGCGTCGCTCGGGGCCACGGTCGTCCTCGTCCCGATGTCCTCGTTTGAGACGCTTGAATTTAGGCTACAGACACGTTAGTACAGCCGGTAGCGATAATCCGTGGGGGCATCGTACCTGTGTTGGTGCTCTGCGCTCGATTTGTTCCCCGATAAGTTCCAGGTCATCCTCGTCCAGCCGCTCTTCCTCTTCTCTGTCGCGATGCTCTCGCTTCCGCTTTCGCTCGTGAGCATCTTCGTCCTCACCTTCTTCCTCTTCCTCATCTTCGTCGACAATAAATCCTTCGCGAATCTGAGTGAAAGAAACAATTAGTCAGTCGTCAACGTAATTTAAATGTTCATCGCCTACTTTGCGCGCTTCCTCCTCATCTTCATCGTCCTCTTCCTCTTCGGAAGAGTCCTCAGGGGCCGCATTTCTTCTGCGCGCAGATCTAGGGTCGGCATCCTCATCTACAGACTCCTCATCCTCATCATCGAGCTCGGCCTCGCCGTCGACGAAATCACGCATTGAGGCGCTCATCTTGAAGTTGCCTAGAATCGAAGTCGCAGCGCGTGGTGAAAGCGACGCCTTCGTCGGTGGACGATACCTGGTAGGCGCGTTGCGATCGCTGAGAGAGCTCGACTAGGCTCAGAATTTGATTAGAAAAGAAAGTATCGTGCCCGAATTAATGAATCGATGTCGAGATGGGTTCGCTCAAATTCGGAGGAAAGAACGTGGGCAAGAATTGAAGGAAGGCGTCCTTGACCAGGCAATTTTCAGTTGCCTCTCCAGCACGCCTGCACTTGGAATAATTGAAAGCTTGGACCTCCAATGGCTCTCCCAGCGCGCCTCGTTCGCTGACCCGATCTTCAGCCTCAGACCCGGAAGGCCCACTGTGGCTGGTGGTGGTTGATCCGACTTCCGCACAGAGCCACTTATCTTATCGGTTTATCCGAAATGTAACACTGTACCTAAGGTACCTACCCGCGCAGGGGGGGGTTTTCAACATTGCCCCAAAAGTATGTACCCTTAATGCCCTTAGGCATCATAAGTATCTACTAGAACAGGTAGGAGCCACATCAGTATGTGTGCTGAGTTAAACATGCAAACACTGTTCCTTCCTCCTTCTGTTTTTGTAGTTCAGAATGGACCCACTCTGTACATATATGATCACTCCGAGTGCTCGAACAGAGGAGAATTAGAACAGATGTTGAGTAATATCGTGATTTTTATTAGAAATGCTGACCCTTGGGCTCATTCTAGAATCTGTATATAGTTGGACCATTATACGGGCAGCAGGGTGCACATACAGCATAGTCCATTAAGGGGGCAGAGGGATGGACCACTTTTGAAAACCCCCCCCCAAACCCGCATAGGTACCTACTGCGTAAGGTAAGGTATGTGATATTACCACGTGCAAAGTGATTCTGCGTCCCCTGCTCGCGATGTGAATCCCAGATTTCCGAAGACTAGCTACCTTAGGCTGATTTATCCACTTCCGCTATTCCAAGTCGCTGTTCATGACTCTATGTATCCGACATGGTCTCATTGAGAAGAGTCACTGCATCAGCTCAAGCATCCTTCAGAGAATCATGAAGCTTCAGTGACTATTTCTTGGGACACCCGCTAGCTCATGTAGCTTAGCTGAACAATGGGAGGCTTCTTGGAATGATCGATACTAGGTGTAGACGGCAACCTGTATTAGTCTGTAAGCGTTTGGCTAACCGGCTTGGATTGGCTTGCCTGCGGACAGCGTAGTCCTACTCTTTCCAGCTGTTCCTTCACGAATGCAACAAACTCCAGTCACTTGCTAGTTGTGCGGAGGCAGAGGGGATGCAAAGAACCTGTCAACCCTAGGCGATATTACGTCCATGATACTGTTTCGAGATCACAGTTGGCATGAGCAGCATAAACAGGAAATCGCGAAGGAGGATCCTTTCAAGAGTTTTCATCTTCGTCTGCCAACATGACACAGATGTTGGCGCCGCAGGGAAGCGCATTCTGCAGCCAACGACAAATTAGCAAGCCATGAACCCATCATGCAGCATTTCATGGCACAATCCCGCGCTTGGGCAGCCATCTGGAGCCTGTCGGGAAGCAGAACAGACCAGACACACAGACATTCGAGGCTTGTTGGTTGGTGTGGGAGGGGCAATGAGGGCGGGCGGCAAGACACTGAGACACCAGGCTGTTTTGCGACTCAAGGCCCTGGTACAAAACAAAGTGGGATTTCTTCAATGCCTCACCACTGTTGGCTCGAGTTGCCTCATCACACCCAGCGTGGCAGCCCACCGGCTTATATGAAGTGCCCAGACGACTCCTAGCCCCTGTCATGGAATTGAGTGATGGGTTGAAAGGGTGACGGAGACAGCGACGCAATTGGACTTGACGGCTTCTTAAAGGGTGAAGGGATGAATCGTGGGCCATCATTGAAGGATGGTACAGATAGTGGTAGGAACGGATGGAAGCAGATAAATTTAGAGGCAGTTAGCTGTCTTTGATTGGCGTGTAGATCTGCACTCCCGTACTGCTTATTTCTTACTCCGTTGTCTCTGCCATGTTGTGGCAATGGTTGGGACCGATGGTGTCAAATGCAGGCGGATACAGCGGCAGGCCAGAGAGTAAGGTACCGGTAGCTCTCTTCAAGTCATAGTCGAACTTGTATTTCTGCCTTTTTTCGCTGACAACCTGCTAATGTTGATGGGAAGTTGGAGCGTAGAGGAAAGGATAGCCGTCGATTCCCGGCTCGTATACATACTCAGAGGGAGGTACCCCGTAGATAGGTAGAGTGAGGTGGATCGAGGCGGGCTCTGGGCTTTTGAGTCTGTGCTGTCGAGGAAGAATCACGGATCCGATATCTTACGTTGAGTTGAGGTAAAATAGGATGTCCTTCCCTGGACGGACCAGTCCAGAGACCCCTCAGTCGCCAACCCAGGGTTGTCGATGGCTCCACGGAACTGCAAGGTCCCCTAGAGGATTCAGACGTTCTGCTGCTACTGTAGCTCTAAAACGTGCGTCAAGTCATCTCTATCCCGTACTCCGGAGCTGGGTCTCGACGTCTCTAAAACACTGGCCCGGGCTAGTGCTGGGCTGTGGCCCGTTTGGGTCCTCTTGTTGTTATCCGTTGCTGATCCCAGCCACTCTGCATCTGACCTTGAGGTAGCTACCTAAGGCATGTTGGGGACTCTGGGTACTTGGCTTTACGTCTGTAGATATTAGTAAGGAGAAGTATCCGTAGCTTTATTCGGATACAGTACCGCAGCGTTGGTGGGGCGCTTCCATTTGTATCGTATCCGCCATTGTCGCAGAGAAAGAAACAGCGAACTGCAACACTAGGAAACCACGAAGCCGACGAACCAAGAAGCCAAAGAGACGTCCAGTCTCAACTTGTGTACATAGGTAGAAACGATGTAGCGTAGCGTCGGCTGGCCAGCAAGGAAATCAGTGGAAATGACACAAGTGACCAAACCTGCCCTGACGGACCGAGACCAAGGTGGGAAAGGCCTGGAAGACTTTACGGACGAGTAACCGTCGCTCTCGCTACTGGAGCGCGGATTAGAACCTGGAGGGGATGCCGCCCCCGGTTGGTCCCAGGTTCAGGTCTTAAACAGATACAGCCGCGCTGTGTGATCCGAAACCATTTCTGAGCCCTCATTTGTCGACTCGGGGTGTGCTGGAGACTTGCGTCTCGACACTAGACTGGACGGGACCGGACTGGACCGTGATTCTTGTGGGCTGTTCCTGCCACCTCGTACTCCGGGCACGGGTAAGTGGAGGTAAGGTACCTCACTTCAGGCACCTGTGCACCATCACCTTAGGTACCTTCCTACCTTACCTTTCCCCCTCCACTGGGTGTACCACTGCGCTCCAGTTGGGTTGGGGGTCTCCCACTCCATCGCACCCGGGCACCTCAGGTCTGTTCTGCTTTGGATGTTTGTGTGGCAGAACGAACCTTTGTTTGATCTGACACCACTTACTCTTCACCTCTCAGGTCGACTAGGTACCTACTGCAACTGCGTCTTGTTCTCCAAGCGCTCGAAACTGGTCCATCATTCTACTGCTTTACTTTCTCTTCCATTCATCCACTCATCCATCCCCTCCCCGTCATCCTCTTCTTAACCATCCTGACCCGCGACCCACGTTCCGCCCGTTTACCTATCGAGAGCAACCTCATTTACTTCTACGAGGCCCTCTCATTTACTCCTATCCAGCGACACGGAGCACGTTGCCTATTTCTTGCTCGTCTACCCCTCCCCCCTCGCCATTTCTCGGAGTCGCCTCCCTACCTTACCTTCCAACCCCACCTTGGCCGAAACGGGGACGCCATCGAGAACAATCACACCAATAAATTTCGAGTCGTCTACGCCCCTCTTCCTCCTTCTCCTTTCTTACACGCAGTCGTCGACTCCGGATATCGTCCATCGCTTCTTCCGCCAAAGCGATATTAAACTCAACCTCTGCCCGCCGAGCATCAACGAACCTTCGCAGCTCGCCTTTCCCCCCTCCTGTTTCCCGACGCAACCCCGATTTCACGATTCCTTTACAGTGACAGGCCAGTCTTTGGTATTTGATTACACGAGACCGTTGGTTCCTGGCATCTGTCCTCGGCACAACCGATTCGACCCAGGTCAACTCGTGTGCGAACGCTACCCAATACGCGAATCACAGTTCCCGACGATCCGAGACGGCAAATAGCTTAAATCGCAGCGCAGGAGACCACACACACACACACACTGGAGGGTGTGGCTCTTTACAACAGCGTGAACAGGGCATGATAATTACCTGTTCGTCGTTGTAACTGCTGGCGTTATTCAGCTTTACTTTCCGTTTTCCGCATTACGACTTTGTGACGGAGACCTGTTAGCCCAAAATGGCTGACCCTTTCGCGCCTCGCTCTATGAAGCGCAAGAACGTCAAAGGCCTGGCCTTGACACCTGCTGCGCCCAAGCCTCCACCGACCGCCGAGACCAGCAGTCACCGCGATAAGGACGGCGGTGACCAGTCGGCACAGCTGGAGATTGGCATCGAGTACAAGCTGGATCTGCGACCAGAGGACCTGGAAATTCTGAAGGAGCTCGGCTCAGGAAATGGAGGTACCGTCAGTAAAGTCAAACATGTTCTTACCGGAACTGTCATGGCACGAAAGGTCGGTCATTGCTGTTGTCCTGCTCGGAAGGTCAAGTACTCACCAATATCAGGTCATCCACGTGGAAGCAAAGAAAGAGATGCGCAAGCGCATTGTGCGTGAACTTCAGATTATGCACGGCTGCTCATCCGAGTATATTGTCAACTTCTACGGAGCCTTCCTGAACGACCACAACGACGTCATTATGTGTATGGAGTACATGGACGTTGGGTAAGCGAGTGTCCGATATACTTCAGCAACCTTGGCTAACATGTCTCTCAGTGCTTTGGATCGGGTATCCAAGGTCTTTGGGCCTGTTCGAGTGGATGTCCTCGGAAAGATTGCCGTGGCTACCTTGGGAGGCTTGACCTACCTCTACTCGAAGCATCACATCATGCACAGAGACATCAAGCCGTCCAATATTCTGGTGAACTCTAGGGGAAGCATCAAGCTTTGCGATTTTGGCGTGTCTGGAGAGCTCATTAACTCTGTTGCTGATACCTTTGTGGGAACTTCAACGTACATGGCACCCGAGCGAATCCAGGGCGAGAAGTACACAGTAAAGTCAGATGTGTGGAGTTTCGGTCTGACCATCATGGAAATGGCCATTGGAAAGTTCCCTTTCAACGCAAGCGAGCAACTTTCGGACGGCGAGTGCGCACCCGCCGGCATTCTGGACCTTTTGCAGCAAATTGTCCACGAGCCTGCGCCCAGGCTACCCAAGAGCGATGCCTTCCCTTCGATTTTGGAAGACATGATTCAAAAGTGCCTGTCCAAGGTTCCTGACGAGCGGCCTACTCCTCAGGAGCTCTTTGTAAGTATATCCCCCAAACATGAATCAACCGTGCCGCTAACATATTTTCCCACCAGGACCGTGATCCGTTCGTCCAAGCTGCCAAGAGAACACCAGTAGACCTGAGAGAGTGGGCAGTTGGTATGATGGAGAGGGACAATCGCAAGTCTCACTTGGCGCCCCAGCTTTCTCCAGCAACACGCGATCTGCTCAACTCCAATGATTCCCCAACATATCATGGCGGTTCTGGAAACGATCGATCCCTGGACACCCCTACTTCAGGAGAAATTCCTATTGCCGGCGCTGGCATTATTTCTCCGAGAGAGCCCGCCAGTCACTCAAACCGCTCTCCCACTAGAAATGGGCTCAACACAATGAGCAGTAGACAGCCGGGTGGCCATCCTGGGATGGGACAGAGAATTGTTACCACCAACTCGATCCCCAAGGTTGGCGAGTATCCGAACAGTGCTGGTCCGGTGAGCGCCAATGCTGCGTCATTTAGCCTGCCTGTTCGCCCGGCTCCTGGCGGACCTCTACCTCCGGCCCCTCCTCGAAAGGGCACACCTGATGATCCGAGAAGAGAGAACCGGAGACAAGCTACCTTTGGCATGCCTCCGGCGCCCAGAAGCTACGCAAGCGACGTGTACAACGGCACCTCCAACTAGTCGCAGGAGGGCTTCGACTATACACATAGCATTGGGCCTCAATCCCACCAAGCTCACCAACTGCATGATAGAGCATCAAATCGCGCCATTCCGCCACAACAGCCACATCCATCTTTCAGCCAAGGACCGAGAACTTGCAATATTTCTACCCAGATGGCTTTTCAACCAGCATCTGACGAACGGGTTCAACGTGCAATCTCATCAGCTCCGCTTTACTCGTCTCAGAAGATGGACATGCCCGATAACAGAAGCTGCAGGACGCGTCGCGATGACAATGTCGCCGGCTTAGAAGACCCCTTCATCTAGACGCGTAGAAAAGCTGGGTTGAAGCCTCAGATCAAGTTCCAGCGGCGAAATGTGTCGATTCGATCGTAGGGAAGCTTCTTACCCTCTTTTCATCAGCATCACTCGGCGCATGTATGGACAACATTCTCCTGCAGACTTCGGGAAGTTTGGGGTTTCACGCACCATGGGAAGGCACATCAGTCAAGTCTTTAGAAAGCTTGTGCAGGGCATTCATCATCGATCGCGATCGAGACAGGAGGGATATGTCGACACAAAAAGCCTCTCATGTAGGGTACCATGTATCTAGCAAACTTGGAGGATGGGTTCGACGGTGGCTGATATGCCAATGAGACAGAGACGAATGATTGAGCAGTTCGTCCTGCTTGTCTTGACCATGGTGTCTTATACTCTCTTGAACTTTTTCTAAATAGACATCAAAGTGACAGTAGACAAGGTGCCATCTAGTCCCTCCTCCTGTTTCTCTTTTACGTCGATGAAACTGGCTCCCTGCTGCTAAAACCCTCTTCAAGGATAGGAATCAGCTCGTCTAATCGGCGAATCACCAAGTCAGTGTGCTCGTGGTCGACCAGATGTACATTAACATCGTTGGCAAGGAGCACTGTCGCCGCGCCAGCTCTTCGCCCAGCCGTCATGTCATCGATCGAGTCCCCAACCATGATCAGCTCACTACCATCACCGACGGTTGTCTCCTTCGCGTCAGTCGAGGTGTTTGCTTCTTTGACGAGACCCCAGTTTCGCGCGATATGCAGAATGCCTGCGGGATCTGGCTTAGGCGGACGAAAGTCGCGGGTTACGATAGGCTCGAAAAGTGACCCCTCGAGGAACTTCCCGAGAAGGTGTGCAACGGGCGCGTCGAAGTTGCGGGTGCAGATGCCCTTGCGGACGCCGCGGCTGTCGAGGTAGGACATGAGCTCCACGAGGCCCGGCTGGGCCACCTGAGAGGCCATGGCCGTACGCTCGATGTGGCGAATGGACTCCATTGCTGTCTCTTGTTCCTCCTTTGTGGGAAGGGAGTAGACGTGGTCGAGGATATCTACTTTCTTTGTGATGCCGAGGGCTTGACGCATCTCGCCGAACATGTACGTTTGAGGTTCACTTGATGATAGTCAGTAAAGTTCGTAAGAAAGTATATGCGGCTTGTAAGAGTATTTAATAAGTTTGTGAATATGTGAAATGTATGGTATTTCGTGGACTCTTGTCTGAAAAACCAGCCGCTGGGGATGAAGTAGTTCTGCTCTGCCGGGGGTGCCAAAGTTGGGGTTCGAATAAGATACAGAATGAGAAAGTATGATGGCTATAAGCAATGAGACACCTGATCACGTACCATAACGTTCCATCAACATCGAACACAATGCCTTTGAGTCGCGGTGCAGTTGAGTTTGCTGCAGCGCCTGGCTTCAACGGGGCAAATTGCCGGGGAGCGTGTGTAACCATTCTCGAGACGAATTTCTTCATGGGAGAAGATCTGGTGCTGAGGAAAGCTCAAGGCCAACGGCGAGACGACGATTAGGATTTCCCGACTTTGAGATAGAGTTTGCGGTGGTTGCGATACCTTCTATAGAGGAGCACGAGGAGCTGTTGCGATGAGTCGTTTAACCCTCAACTAAGACGGAAGAGTACGTACACACCCGCACTGGATCGATGACCGCGAGTCGGGAATGCGTCCTGCGGGCTTAACTAGTGTAAGATAGGTAGGCGGCGATTGCGCAAAACCCCACACTGGGCTGGATGGGGAATCGGGGAGTGGGAACACAGTGCCGGCTGACTGACTGAAATGTTGCACAATTCCGGACCCCAGCCGGCCAGATGACATGGGTCTAGGGATGTGAATGGTTGGCGCGAATCTTTGAGGCAAGAGAGGTCTGCTGTACTGCTGCTGGTGGGAGGAGCTTTCCATGTGGCGACGCCCAACCTGCAGCAATTTAGACCAGTGCCAGTGTGTCGTGGATGCTCGGTCGTTGGGAATATTTGTTTAGACGCCTTTGCAGTTGGCAGTAGGTCTGTCTGTGTCTGACAGCTATAACCTACCCTTTTTCTTCTTACGTACAACAAAACATCCAGAGGGCAACACAAGTTAATCCCTATCGCTGCAACCTAGAAAACGAACCACTAGTAGACAAGCTTCTGCGAGCTCCCTTGCTGAGCGCAACCAGACCGACTGCTCCAACACGGCTGACATTTGGGTGATGCGCAACACCCAACCGTGATGAGCTCGTCGAACAACAACCAATGGCCACCTAGGCGGCCCTCAAAACGGAGCGTGAGTTGAATCGGCTGTCGTCCTTTTTTCGGTGAAGCTTGTTGGCTGGTATTGCGCAAATCGTAGCTGACCGCGCGGTGTGATTCTAGAAGCTCCGAAATGGCACCTTCATCGTCCCAGGCACCGGCGAACGCAGCCGCCGCCAATTCTCTCTCCGCGGATCGAGCATCGAGATTCCCCAGCCCGAAGTGAACGGATACCGATCCCTCTTGGCCGCCGAGTCGACCGGCGAGTCTCTCAATGTGGTCAAGCATAATATCAAGACCAGTGCCCTGCACCTCTGGGACTGGCTCATGTCTCCGGCGGGCAAGGGCGTGCTGAAGTGTACCTTGGCATACCTGTTGGCCAGTATGGCGACGTTCCTCTCGCCCATCTCGGCTTTCTTGGGCAAGCCTGATGGGAAGCACGTCGTCGCGACTTTGACGGTCTATTTCCACGCCAGTCGCACGTGGGGCTCCATGGTTGAGGCCGTCGCCATTGCCACCATAGCCGTTCTGTATGCCGAAATCATATCCTGCCTCGCCATGGCCTTTTCCGTTGTGGTAGGAGGCCAGCTCGGCCTCATCCCGCTGTCTCACGTTCTCATCTTGACGTTCTGCATCGGCGGCGGCATGGGTTTCATCGGGTGGGTGAAGCAAAGGCTGAACAACCCCTTGGTCAACGTGGGATGTACCCTTTCTTCGATTGCCATCATCGCCGTGGTCACTAGAGAGGAAGCAATCCACGAAGGGCACTTTTCCGAAGCCAAGATTGTACAAGTACTTAAGATGTTGGCTATAGGCATTACAATCACGGCAACGGTCAACTTCTTTGTCTGGAGGGTGTCGGCACGGGCCCTTTTGCGTTCCTCGATGAATTCGGCCGCAGTATCACTCGCGGACATGCTCTCCATGATTACTCGTGGCTTCCTGAATGGTTCTGAGAACGAGATCATGTCGGGAGACTTTGGCCAGGTTGCGAGACTGTACAAAACGACGTACGGGAAAATGACAAAGAATCTTAGGGAGTCGAAGTTGGAACACTGGGTTCTTGGACGGGAGAAAATCTATAACCTGGAAAAGAATCTCGTCAAGTCGTTGGAGTCACTCTCGCAAGCCATAGGAGGTTTGAGAAGTGCGGCGAACACGCAGTTTGCCTTACTCAAGGAGATGCCGCAGGATCCCATGGGCGGACAGCTTTCTCCCGGAAGCACGGTGTTCTCACCAACGCTGTCTCGCGCCATGTCGCAATACCTCAAGGGTGCCCGGGATCGGTTCGCAACACTGGCGTCGATCGAGGAAGATGACGAATACGACGATGATCTGGATAGCCACCCGAGCCCCGAGGCAACCCCAGACGGCCCTCCGGCGCCACTGCCTACTTTCCGCTCACCGTCAGAGATCTTTGAGCTCTTCATAGCGCTGCTGGGCCCCTCGATGAAGTCTTTGGCATACACTCTTTCGGAGATCCTGAGAGAGCAAGCTTTTGCAAAGGGAGCAGACTCCAAGATTACAGTCAACCCTCATTTTAAGCATAGTTTAAAGGACGCCATGGCGCTGTACAGCAACGCAAGAACTCACGCCCTGCAAGAGCTCTACACTAGTATCGAGCTGGGCCGGGCGAGGTCAGAAAAGATTCAAGCAGACATCGAGGAAGTTGCGGCCGCCTGCGGACATTTCAGTTTCAGTTTGCAGCACGTGGCAGAGGATATTGATGCATACTTGACAGCCTTGGAAGAACTCAAGTATAATCGTGAGATGGGCTCTCGCAGCTGGAACTGGCTGAAGGTCTGGAAGTACTTTTCCTCGCCTGCACAACCCAAGGAATCCGACCCTAGCAACCTAGATACTGAGCGTCTGTTGCATCAACCTATGGAGCCTCCGGAGCAGCCTGTTCGTGCCATCAGGAAATCGGCTCTTCCCAGGGGTATTCCCGACACGATGATCAAGCGCAGAGATACTTTCAGCTGGGATGCCGCTCCCAACGCGAGTATGATTATGAGATTTTTCTCGCAGCAGCTTCTCAAGGGTTTGAGAGTTTTGGCTCGCGATGACAGTAAGTGACTGGTACTCAAAGAGTGCTTAGACACGGCTAATAATTTGGGCAGTCCGATTTGGTGTCAAAGTCGGCTTTGGAGCGATGCTTTGGGCAGCATGTGCCTTCATTCCGGCAACGAGACCGACGTATCAGCACTGGCGAGGCGAGTGGGGCTTGCTATCTTTCATGATTGTCGCGTCTATGACTGTCGGAGCAGCCAACACCACGGGCACTGCAAGGTTTATTGGCACCATTGCCGGAGCTACCTTTTCCTTGACGGCGTGGGCCATCAGCCAAGGAAACGGGGTCGTCCTCGCGTTCCTGGGCTGGATGGTCAGCTTCTTCAGTTTCTACATGATGCTCGTCAAGAACAATGCCCCCTTCGGTAGGATTACGCTTCTCGCCTGGAACGTCACTGTTCTCTACGCCTATTCGTTGTCACAAAAGGTGGATGATGACGATGACGATGAGGGAGGTTCCAACCCTTTGATGTTTGAAATTGTCTATCACAGATTTGTTGCGGTGTCTTTGGGTATTCTATGGGGTATCTTTGTTTGCCGGGCAATCTGGCCGATCTCGGGCAGGAAGAAGTTCAAGGAAGGTCTTTCAGTACTCTATCTCCAGCTTGGCCTCATCTGGAAGAGAGGACCGCTGGCTATTCTACTCCGAAGCGACAACACGAGGTCGTACATGAAAGCCGGAGAAGAGCAAGCACTGCAACGCTATGGTAAGAGACTTGTTCTCTAAACCCGAGCATACCGCATATCGCTGACACAGAGAATAGCCTTCAAGCTTGAAGCCTTGCGTAATTCCGCAAAGAGCGAGTTCGAACTCCGTGGCCCTTTTCCTGATGCCGCCTACGGCCGCATCATGCAGTCCACTAGCAAGATTCTCGACGGATTCCACGCCATGCGGCTCGTGACCTCCAGACGGGGGCAGTTGTCCGCAGGCGAACGAGCTCTGCTCGAGTACACGGCACCAGAGCGCGCGCAACTTTGCGACCGCATCTGCCACGTGTTCCAGGTGCTCGCAAGCTCCATGATGCTAGAGTACCCGCTCACCGACGCGATCCCGTCGGTGGTGGGCAACAAGGACCGACTGCTGGGCAAGATTTATCAGTTCCGCAAGGAGCACCAGCCTCCTTCTCCCATAGTTGGGAATGACTTCGAGGAGCAGCGGCAGGAGGAGAGTGGCAACGGAAACGGCAATGTCGGCGGCAACAATAGCAGCAGCAAGAACAACAACAACCAAATTACCAAGAATGGTGTGGTGTTGGAAGAGAAGGACTTTGCTCTGTTGTACGCGTACACCTTGGTCACGGCCCAGGTCGCGCAGGAGCTCGAGTACGTGCAGAGGGAGATCGAGAACCTCTTTGGCGTGCTGAACACGGAAGCGCTCTTGCTGCAGTAAAAAGAGTTCCCCAATATACATAGAAGAAGAAGAGGATGTTACTGGGTAGAGAGGTGGCGGTGGC